TGACTTTTGGGTTCTGTGTCAGGGTCTGTTCAAGCCACAGACAGACTAATGAAAGAATTAAGAGATATATTTAGGTCAGATAGCTATAAAAAAGGTAAGTGTATTTTCTATAAATTTTCTTATGCAGTGAAAAATCCCCTATAACTAAAGATCTTGATTGCACCAAGATAAGAAAAAATACAAACTTATTCATGCAATAAAAAGATATATATCTAAAAGTAAAATTTGTATTTATAACCCTCTCAAAATATATAAATTAATAAACATTTTGTAGGAATATATACTGTTGATCTAGTCAATGAAAGTTTATATGAATGGAATGTTCGATTAAAAAAGTAAGTTGACATTCAAAATTTTTTTTATTAAAACTTATATATTTTAAGGTGCATTGAATTTATTTATTGTAATTTTTTGCAGAAAATGCAATGTAGAGATCAATTTTCTAATATGTTCTTAATTTTTTTAACTATTTATGTTTAACTATTTTATTATAGAGTAGATGAAGACAGTGCATTATTTACTGATTTACAAACTTTTAAAGAAAAAGAAGGCCAAGATTTTATTTTATTAAATATCACATTTAAGGTACAGTATCCTTATCTTATCTTTTCTAAATGTTTAGTAAATTGTTATCAATAGTTGACATTTTACTACCAAGTAACACTATATACAATACTAGTATACAATGTAAAGTTGGACTTTCACTATCAATTGTTCAAAATTTGCTTTTGAGTTTATATGATGCATATTAACAGATCAAATTACAATCACTGCAATTTATCCCCAGGGTTGGAATATGAAATATTGTCTGTGGCACCAATATATTTATTCTTTCAGGATTCCTTTCCATTTGATCCACCATTTGTTAGAGTAGTACATCCTATATTAACTGGAGGTTATGTTTTAGGGGGTGGGGCTATCTGTATGGAGCTACTCACAAAACAGGTACTGTAGTTATTCTAAAAATATAATAGTCTAGCTTACATGTACTTAAAAGTCGACAAATCTGGACCTACTAAGTCTCTCGGATATTATATATCATAAATTTTTATTATTGAATCAAATCCATTCACTCAAGATCGCTAATCTTTATAGAATTTTCACCATGGCAAAAGGTAAATTTGTCATAAATTCTTGATCTTTACAAATTAGAACCATAAATGAGTTCATCAAGACATTACCAGATATTCTACTCGGTAGCACAATACAGTCGAGGGCTCTGGCGTTCCCTTCTTCATACAACTCCATAAGTATGATTTGTGTGGGAATGTGGATCATGTGCTTGAGGTCATAATTTGCTAGTCGCCACATGTCCTCAACTAGAAAGGATATCTGTAAAAGCAATAACATTTTGTGACGTTGGTAGCGCTTGATTTTTCAGGATAGGTAAATGTATGTATTACACTATGTATTGTGTATTTCTAGGGTTGGTCAAGTGCCTACAATATAGAATCCGTCATTTTACAAATATCAGCAACCTTGGTTAAAGGTAAAGCACGAATACAATTTGGTGCATGGAAGGTAAGGCCTATATTATTATTTGATATCGAGAATCCTATTGCATCCAATTATTTATTCAGGTTAAAAAATAATACAATATTTTGTCCATAAATTTGAAAGTCATGTTTGTTTTTGTCAATTAACATACAAATCATATATGTTTTTGTCAGTATGTCAGTAAACTTGCAAATCATGTACGTGTATGTTATTGTCAATCAACTTGCAAATTATGTAAGCTATTTTTTACAACTTGTGTATTTTATGTTTCAGAGTCAATACAGTTTAGCCAGAGCACAACAGTCTTTCAAATCTTTAGTACAAATCCATGAGAAAAATGGATGGTTCACACCACCCAAGGAGGACGGTTGAGAATCATGATGTGTAAATGTACCTTTTGTGTCTGTGTGTAAACTGTTTGAAAGATTCAGCCTCATCGACATTGCTTTCATCTTTAAACAAGCTAAATTGAAAGTAAAAGTATTTGGGGCAAAGAACAATTAATGTTTCAAAATGAAATTGTGTTCCCTCATAATGCATGTTCTTTTCTACAACTTCAAAGCTGATGTGTATCTGTTTTTTCATAAAATTCATTTCCTATGTAGGTGGGGATATTGAACGAGAGATCATGACATTTATTCATCCAAAATTTTCCTTTATCTGATGTTGGATAAATGTCAAATAAATAAAGTGCTTTATGATATACAATGGGTTTGCGTTTGGTCAAATAAAGACACATTCATTGGCTGATATAATGCATAAATTTGATTAAACAGCTAATGTTGTATGTAGCTAATTTATCAGGGTTTGCCAGGTGGTATTAAAAAATATGTTTCTCTTTATTTATTGGTTGGGAAATGTATATTGACTACATCTTAGAAAGCTGTAGTTTACTTAACAAAATTATTCTTTTGGGTGTTAGGATTGGTACATTACTCACTTTTTTTATTATTATTATTTGTAAGGCATAAGATAACCAGATTCCCTATGTTTTATGGTTATGGTATCAGTTTCAATTGGCGCAATCAAAAGATGTGTGCACCAATCCAATGCTTATTCTATTGATAAATATATATTGGTGACATTTATTGGTTTTAAACCAAAACCAATTTGTAAATTATAAAATAATTTTTATGTATGGATTGTGTTGGTTAATGTTATGATGTAAATTGAACCAAAATATTGTAAATAGATCCATTGAAATTGTTAAAGATGTAAATATATATATAATAGTATATATATTAATTTTATTGTACTATTGTGTTCATTCTCTTTATAGGCAAGCATTTATTGTCTGTCTATTTGTCTTTCAAAATCAATCTCTATAATTGTAACAAAACTTAATATGCTTATGTATAAGCATAACCTCCCAGACGAGTTTGATACTTGCGATTTAAATGAAGGCTCATACAATCCTCACCATTGAAATAAAATGGGAGTGTAATATCTCAATGTTCTGCACCTCCTTGGTTATTATGCTAAAGTTAATTACTTTTCTGCTCCATTGCCTATTGCTATGTCTAACTGTGTAATGATCTTTAGTCTGTTACATACACACACTCATGCAGCCTCAGTTAATTTACAGACATTTTATGCATCACTCACAGGAGAACAACCTAGTTGACAAATCCAAAGGTAAATAGACCTATCTTAAGTGCTTCATTTGGTGAGCAATCCTGCCACCAATTGATGGTGAGCTTATATGATCAGAAAACTTTTTCCCCATCCAAATGAGAAGAGGGAAACACAGCTGCAAAAATCAAAGCAAGCACTGTATTCACTTTACAAATTTATTTGGGAATACAGCCTTTTATATGTCATTTCACCATAGAACATGAATATTTTTCCAAAAGAAAAAAATGAAAGGTATAGAAATTTTATTGTTTCTTCATCATAATCATAAATATGAGATTTAATAGCACTTTAAATAAAAGTAAATGTGTTGTAACACTTATAAAAATATAATTTCATTTGAAAATCATTTCTTGAAAAATAACTGCTTGTTAGATGTCTCTAAATATGAACTGCTTTAGAAAGTCTTCTCAGACATGGAGTTATTCCACCACATTTCAAAATCATTTTACACCATTTTATGAATAATCTCTATTCAAAATACAGCTATACACCATATTAGGAGAAATCTGTAAAATCAGTTTTCACCATTTTAGGAGAAATCTGGAAATTTCAAAATCAGTTGTATACTATTTTAGGAAAACTATCTTATCTTTGTACACCATTTCAGGTCAAATTTGTATAGTACATTCCTACATCAGCTGAACGTCATTTTAGTAATAACCTGTATATTTAAAAATGAGATGTATACCATTTTAGGTAAAATCTGTATGTACCAAATAAATGCAGTTGCACACCTGTATATTCCAAATTCAGCTGTATACAAAATCAGTTTTTCACCAGTTACAGAATAATCTGTGCACACTTTTAAGAACAAATCTCACAGCATCAACATATTGATCATCCAGGTGTTTTTAAGGATAATTGTCTAAAAGAATCAAATAAATAATATAAACTCTTTTTCTCATCAGTTTGACCATATTCTTGTTTATGTTGTGAGAAATTAGGACCTAAATCATGGCTCAATATTGTATCATTTTTCTTCTCATCTATGGTAGTCTGTACCTCCTGCAATTAAAATAACATTGAGTGTCTGCACAATTATAGATATTTGTGACATAAATATATAACATATTTCATAAAATTATGGCCATAAAGTGAAGAAATTTTGGCGCTATAATCAAATATGACGGACACATAGGCCCACAGACATACTAGTCCTAATGCAATACTAGGCTACAAAGTTTACAAGTAAGGTAGACTCACAGATTTAAAATCATGGAATGACTCATAAATGAAATTCCAATACTTTATGAAATAATTAAATATGTAAGTACCTTAACTATATCAGACTTGATTGTTGAATTAGCACCTTCTACATTGGAACTCTCCTCTTTTAAAGGCTTATTAGATAACAAATCATATCTTAGTGATGCAGAATGTGCTCGAGATGCTTGCAGATTAAGCTGAACCTTGAAAATACATAGAAAATATAGGAAACTTCAGATATGAAAATATGAATTTTTGCTGAACAAAAATAAATTGATATAACAGATCATTATTTGAATTTTTGCTGTTATATCTGTCACTTATAGTATGAGATGTCCTCTGCTAGATGGCACAGAGACAAGTCAGTCACAAGACTTGTGTAGATAGCATTTTGGGTAATATATCCGTGAGGTGACCATAGCGTCACTAGTGTCCAAGCTATAGGCTTGTGAATGTGGTGGGGTTTTGCTTATGTTTACAGATGTTTGTGAATTAACTATATATGATAATTCCATTGTATTAAATAACTTATCAAGTCAATTTGATTTGAATTTTCAACTGAAAAATATGAAAAACTTTGCAATTTCATATAAACTTACAATGATATGATTAAAAAGTTTATACGTCTGTGAACCATGTATTGTTTGTACACTAATAGACTGATCATCTTTATTTATAGATCCACTCAACCACTCACTATCACCTTGTTTATTAATATATACTACTTGACCTTCTTTATTTCTTAAATATACTGGTCCTTTAATACCATATCTATAATTTATAATAACATTATACAATGTCTGTATATAAGATAATAATACCATATCTACAATTTATATACAATATGTGTAGATAAGATCAAATCTATAATTGAGAACATCCAAGTCATCAAAACATAGAGTGCACCTGACATAATAACCCACATTATTGATTTCATTTTTTGCTACGCTTGCTTATGAACTATTTAATGGGATCAGTTTGAAGTACATATGTGTGCTGTCTTGTTTATTTATGAACAATAAAAGGTAGTTGTACCTTGGTATATAAACAAGGAAACCATTGATTCTGAGTTGGAATATTACAGCATTAACAATACACTGTTCATCACTGGGTTTTTTATCTTTAAAATATAACGACTGGAATAGTTCCTGAGAATCACGCTGGGCATTCTGTGCTGCCTGTAATTATAAACCAATAGAGATAATAATCGACACATACATAATGGAGATAAAGGATGATTTCATAACTATTAGGTTATGAACATTCAAAGAACTCAATAATTTCATTGTCAAAAGGAAAATAAGTCATAATATATAATTAAAAAGAGATTTGTTATTAAATTTGAGATGAAATTCATCTTTAATAGGTTTCTCAATTAATGTTCACAAAGCCAATCATTCTTGATAAATGTAACTGATATTGAGAATAGTTTACAGCAAAATAAATTATTTATATACTTTAATTTTAAGAAGACAATCTTTAGTTAGAAACCCATTCAAATTCCCACAAATGCATCATCTTTTATACAAGAAAGATATGAAGCATTACCTTATGTTTTATATTAATATGATCAGCTAATTCGTCTAATACTTTATTACTATCTAAATGATCACAATTTATATTCTCTATGGCTGATAATAACAGACGATGTACCTAAAAATACATCACAAGATTGTGATTATTTCTTCACAATGATGACAAGACATTTCTTCACATATTTACACTCTTTTCTAGAGACCTTGATAGGAATTTCACATTTCATTGTTTTCAAATTGTAAATAATGCTGAAAATATCATCAGTGTGATTCAGCTGTGAAATGATTTCATGATTGTGTGCCTTGTTTAAGTTTACAGCATCAAGGCACCAAAGAAGTATTAAAATATTGCCAATTATCAAATGTATACATTCTAAATTTAATGAGATTCAGACAAAAATCATATATATTTACCACTATATCTGCATATCTTCTAATAGGTGAGGTAAAATGTGTATAGAGATCTAAAGCTAATCCATAATGAAAGAACTGATCATGAGGTAAAGATCCTGTAGAGAAATACTGAGCTGTAGACATAGCATAGACAGCTAACTGACGTAACAACTACAAAATATAACAAATTCTATATAAAATACTGTAAACATAGCATTGATAAAATTATATATTAGATCCTAGTGGTGCCCCCCCCTCGCAGCCCCGAAAGCTTTTTCGGGCAAAAATCTCACAACTAGGTTGGAAATTCGGCAATCTCAGATATTTCACCCTCCCTCGGACGTAAACCTGGCTCCACCATTGTACTGGACACATAATAGACAGCTTATTGACAAAACTACAAATATATGGAATGAAACATCAAAACATCAGTTAAATTGTACTGAACATGGTTAACAAAACTGTACAGTATCATCTAAACAAATAAATAATCACTTGTTATCAGTGTGAGACCTTAATATCTTCAAATTAAAATTATAATAGTGGATTTATCATTTAGCATTAACAAGGAGCAAGAATCAACTATAAGAATGGACAGACAAGCATTGAATATGAAACGAACTACATAGAGTCAGTCACTAGTCACCTTATTAACAACTGGGTCATCACCATCAATACATCTATTGAGAGAATCAGCTAGTGTTTTATTAGATGTCGTATCTATAACAAATCCCTTTGATGCAGCACATTTAACCAATATTTCAAACTGATCTTGTCTTGGTAGTGGATGATGCCGTAACTGAAAAGATATCACAACCTTGTCAAAAATATTTATTATGCAAATTATGCAATAACAAAAAGGACATTTGTTTGAATTTTCCTCACACCTACACTTCTTAAAAAACAGTTCATAATCTAATGTTAATCTATTTGATCATTAAAGTGTTCAGACCCATTCCAACCCTTTCATAATTTTTTTAAAATCTGTATTAAAACTTGAATAAAAACTCTTATAATCCCAGATCTAAGATAAGTGAATATCAATATAAAGATATTTTTATAACATACCAATGATTGATTAGGATAGTGTTCAACAATCTTCTTAGCTACCCAATGATTAGCAAATATCATACATTCTGCTATAGTTTCATGTACTTCTAGATGCTACAAGAGAAAATGCTAATCTATCATCAACATGTTAGCACACACTCTGAAAATGTTATTCAAAAAGCACATATGAAACAGAACCAAAGGTATACATTCCTGATTGCAAGCAGGGTCTTCACAGAAGTTATTTTGATAGTTCAGGATGTTAGGCTGAGGAAACTGTCTTTCAAGTTGACAAATGTTCAAAATGTCTCAAAATGCTGTGTTCTGTGTTGTTTTTCAACTGCAAGCAGTGAGGAATATTTGAGTAAATGAAGGCTCTGGTGATAAGTTTGCAGGTCTCCAAGAAGAATTTAAATGAAAATAAAACTCAGAAACAGGAAATTTTGATAGACTAAGTAAAATTTATTTTTTCTTACATCTTTTGGAGTTAAGCCTTCTACATCTGATTCTTCCATCTCTACCCTCACTTCAATACTATCTAATTCTAGACCACCACCACTAGCTCTTCTAGATTTTAATATTCTAGCCACATACATTAACTTGTTCACTGCCCAACGTAGTTCATCTATTCTAAAACAAATTCATCAAATTATTTATCAGAAATACAGTTTTATTCAACCTGTTGAAAGCCAAAAACCTGGATGAAACAGAGTTGTAGGGATGACATGGAAGAAGCAAAGCTCACATTTTCACAATGTCAAACTATTACAAACTGGTTTTGACTGCAATAGCCACCTGTCTTGTATCACAGAAGTTTGTAAATGCAGTTATTTGGTTGGATTGTATGTTAACAAATAGAGTCAATCAGAAAGTCTCCAAACAATAAGCCATTATATTTACAGTCTGTCTGTCGAGGGCTATGATCGGCTGTATTTGCTGCATTCCTTGATACAAGAAAGGTGGCTATTCTGGTCAAGGTATAAGAAGAAGTTTGTAATAGCTTGACATTGTAAAAGCTCAATGAATGATATGTGACCATTAACAGATCTGCCTGTTGGGTTGAATTTTAAAAATAAAGATTACAGGATAGCTAATTGAGAAGATAGGTTTAAAATTGACACTCTTTACTTGAAATCATTATATATAAGCAATGACAATATATAATTCAGCAGGTCTAAATAAATGGTCAGCTCCCAATTGTCAGTAAGGGCAGTTAACAAATTTTCAAGGTAGTAAGATCTGATAGTAGGCAGATTGGTCTACTGTTAAAGTAAAAAAATTGTTTGTTTTTAAGTTTTGAGTTGCCTATTATTTAACTTGACTACAGACAGTAATTCATTACTACAGGTAAGGGAGACAAATCCAATGAACAATGTCTTTTCTAATGAATGTAGTCTGTAGCCATAACTGAATGATATTCTAAAACTAACTTTGTTTTCAGGTCTGCAGATGATACATTTTGTAACTCTGGTATATTTTCTACAATTTCATCTTCTTCAGCACCTTCATTTATTCTTTGAGCAATCTAAAAAGAAACCCACATTATTGAATAAGAAGATGTCTGACGCCTACTCGCCCTTATGGAATACCTGATGTTATTAGAGTACAGCTCTACCGATACACTTTGCATCCACAATGATATTCAATATTTCTCATAATTACTGTTGTAATTTAGTGGCGTTTCTATAAAGCATTAGATGGAGGGGTGAGGGCCACATAATTGTCAAAGGGGGGGTCAATATCATCAGACATTTAAGACATCAATGTTTTAATTTTCCATCACAGACTATCTACAAATTATTTAAAGTAATTATGGATTACCTCATAAAATAGTTTATATTGGGATCTAATTACAGTTCTTCCATACCATACATTTAAAACTTCAAGATCTTTTGATAACTCCCAAACAGCACTCATAGCATATCTAAATGACAAAATATTGAAACAATATTTGAGTATGGTCATTCAAACATATTCATGAAATAATGTTTATAAACACAGTCAAATGATCAAGCAATGCAATACTTACCTATCTACACCACTGATTAATGAACATAAATTAGAACTGAGTATAGGTGGTATCATATCATATCTTCTATCAGATAAATAGACTGTGGTGGATCTAGATCTAGCTTCAATATCAGTCAAACTACCAGGTGGTACAAAATATGTTACATCAGCAATATGGACTCCTAATTCTAGATTTCCATTCTTCAGTTCCCTAATTGGAAAATAAAACAAGAAACCATGAAATAATCAATGACCATATCAAATGAAAAGCAAAAAGTTAAATAATGTCGTTATTTATAGGAGATAATGTGGCATTAAAAATTCATTATAACTTGAGTTACCTTCCAATCTCATTAAAATATGATTTCTTTTTAAAATATTAAAATCTTTCAATGGCTAAATCTGCTAGAGTACCATACTGAACAGTACATGATGTTGAGGTCTTTTGTCAAAATGAAATAGTACTGCAGAACTTTGGGTGCCCATCTACCAAAATAATTGGCTAATACATACCTTATACTTAATGTATCATCAACATCTTCACAACCTTTAGGGTCAATACTAAATACAAGATGACTATTGCGTAAATCTCTACGTTTCTTTATCTCTTTTTCATCCATTTTCCAAGGATTATCTTGAGTATCCACTGGTAATTCTTTAATCTACAAGAATGAGTACAAATAGTTATACCTTATTACAGTATATAACATTTTACTTTGTACTATAATTAAAAATTATATTGATAAATTCCATTGCTTTGGTTCAACCATAGAATATATAACAATACCACCAAATACATGAATTACACCACAAATCACAGTCATATGTCAATGACAATAATGATGATGAGGAGTAGAAGGGTCTGGCAAACTGAGTATAAAAAACTGACAATAATAAAGTACAGTAGACAGTTTAATACCTGATTTTCTGTGAAGGGTAAAGATTGGATTGAGTTTTCTACTAATATAGCAGACACTTCTGTCTCTAATTCACCCAATGTTCCCAGACTTTTTACAAAGTGGCCATTTGGATACTGAGAGCCTAATTCCCAAGAATCCAGTCTTACAACAACCCTACAAAAAACAGACCATAATACAAAATCAAATTAAAGACCTGCATTATCAGTGAAAAAGAAAAGAAAAAATAAAACATAAAGATTGAATGATGCAAGGCAAAAAGCAAAAACATACCTAAACTAAAACTTCAAGTAAGTATTAATTGATACAAGGTTATCTTTTCGAAAATAAACATATATACATATTTCAAAATGTCTGAGACAGTGCATAATCACTCTTAAAATTTTAACATTCTTACCTTTTATCTTTTAATTTGTCTATTTGTCTAGTATTGATACGTATTTTAGGTATTCTATAATCATATGGTATAACTAACACTTTTCCTCCTTTATTTCCACTTGAACCCTCCTAGAACATTTCAATATACAGACTTATATTTCCATTATCCTTTAAAACAATTCACTGAAGCTGATGTAGTTGAAGAGTTGACATTATATGCATGATTATGGTAAAAACAATTAAGATTGTGGGTTGGTTTGTTGGCTTTAGAAGCTGCGTCCTGTGAATAAGCCATCAATCCTAAATTTTCTATTGAACCGGTTGCAATCAAGAAAAGACTAATGGTATGAAGTTTGACTGAGGACCAGCTGGTTAAAAGGTCCTGGCGAAATTCAGACTGTAATCTAACTGAGAGAGACTTTTAGTCTAAATGTTTTGAAATGGCATGTTTAAGTTCAGACACATTACCTCCTCTGCAGAGAAAGTTGCAACATAATCTCTCCAGTTTCTCTGTAAAATACCAACAATGGTACCAGTAGGAATAGCTGGACTAGCTTCTTTCTCATTTTCAACACCTTTCGTCTCTGAAATAAAATATCTATACAATGCACTGAGTAAACAATAATAAATCTTAAAGCTATCATTAGTTTCAAGTCTAATAACAATTTTCCCTGACAGAGTATCAACTTCACCAAGCTGAGTGAGTAGATATCTTTAAAATATTTTCTTTGAAAAATATGTTCTGTAGATTTTGCTAAGTCTATTATTTTTTGCTCTTAAAACTTTTTTTCTGTGAGCTTATAGCTTTAAATCTAATAACACTTGAAATATCAAAATGAAAAATAAATGAATATTTCTAAATCAATGGATGGTAATGAGTGGTGAGAATTACACATGCTTGAGCACTATATATTCACAATTATATGATATATTTGTACAATATTATCACTGAACAGATGCTCCTACCTTCTCCATCATCTTGTTGTATAGCTAGAGAACGACCTTTCCACTGTGTTTTAGGTAAGATTTCTACCACAACTCTATCACCATGTATAGCTCTATTTCTACTTCCCATACCACTGACAAATATATCTTCCATTTTTTCACCATCTTTTTGACTAGTTCTGTAAAATTTTAGCCTAATTTCAATAGCCGTATTGAATAAATGGAATTTCATTTGGGGGGCTGACTTAGGAGCCAACTGATAATAAATATATATGAATATATTGGGGTAGTCTGAACCTATGCCTCTTGAAAAATCCCCAAGTTTTGCTGACACTGTTCTAAGCGACAACTGTCAAAATAGCCATCATAGGCAGCAATAGAAGCAAATGTTTCGGACTATGTTTGTGGGTGAATAATCCAATGCATAGACATTGGCATTTCCTTAAAATATATATATTTAATACAAACTGAAAAAATTTTCATCTTGAGTAAAGTAAAAATTCTTCTGATAACATTATCCTTATCATACAAATTAGAATGTAGATGATCTGTAAGGTTTTCATCAATCTTACCCAGATTGTCTAACAAAAGCCTCTGTTGAAGCATTATGTCTATTTACTTCGAGAAGACCTTCTATATATCTTCCTGATTTAATACCAGTTTCTAATATATCAGATGGTAAATATCCAGAATAATCTCGTTCTAAATAGAAAATCACAAAATAGAGTAGGTCTACATTATGAGTCGAGAAATATTTTTGTGCAGTGAATTCTACAATGAAGGGGATAATATTTGTATTACATGAATATAAATAAATTGAGCAGAACTCCTTCAATTCCCCACATAATTCTGTGCTCCTACACCTATGCATATATAAAGCTGTTAATTATTTGAAAAGTAAAGCTTAGACAAATTTTCATCAAAATCCTGAATTTACTGTCATTATGGTGGACTTGCTTCAGGTTAAGATGGGTTCAACTATAATGACATTATAATGCTCTCTTCCATATTGCATTGTCTACATATATTAAATGTATGTAGAAAATACAATATGGAAGAGAGCAAGAGTATATCCCAAATATAAAATGCAGTACCTTTTGATTTATTATCTAATGCTGTTGTTATAGATTCATAAAGATCTACAATACCATCTAGATTATGCCAAAATCCCTTCAAATAATCTTTAACATTTAAAACAAATATGTTAACTGTTTTATCTTCATATTCCTTAATAACCTATAATTAATCAAATTTTAATTCAGTGTTTTAAACCAATATTGTCACCATCCTATGCAATTCCACATTAATATAAATATCCTTGATGATTAACTGTGCTTGAACGTTGAATAGAATGTATGGTCAAAATAGACTAAAATCTAAATTCTCTAATAAATCTTTCATGTTTTTTGGTTTCCACATTGGGTTGATGTGTCACAGAAGCATATGCCATCAGTAAGGATGCTTATAAGGAAGCAATGAGAAAAATCAGTTTGATAATATCTCACCTGTTGATCATTAGTTAACATCACAATAGGAACATCACCAACAAAATGATTATAATACCATTCACAAGCTTTGTATGTACTCCTAGAAAATATATTCTCAACAATTTTATTTTCATACATGACAGATTCACCTTTATTCCAAATGAAATTGATTTGTAAACTTTAGAATTGTTGATAAAATCACTTGTTTATGACAAATATTATTATTCTATGCATGTCTTCAATTCATCAAAATTTTCCAGCTGACTAAGAACAGTTCAAGATAACTATAACACTCTCCAAAATTAAAATGCAGAATCTGGTTCATCTGCAATTTAAATAACCTGTTGGAAGTAATAAAGGAGAAAATTTCCAGGTCAATGACAATCTAATGAAGCAAATTTTCAGATGACAAAAACAAACTAAAAATATTATAATACAATTTCCATACTTAATCTGCCAATGATTCAATGATTCACCAGGATCTCGTTCTATATAAACATATTTATGAAATTCATTATGAAACACCACAGAAGCTTTGCGACCATCTTTAATTAAATTCTGTAATCGTGTAAATAACCTTTTACTTCCTTCATGTTGAACCTGAACAATAGATAATCATTAGACTAAAAATAAAAAGCATGATAATGATTTAGATTTAAGAAATGTGTGTTCACATGACATGAATAACAATGGTTCCATAAAAAATTATTCCTAAACTCATATTATAAGTATATTAGTTAAAAGCTTTTTGGTAAAGCACAATAGGAACATCACCAGCAAAATGATTATAATACCATTCACAAGCTTTGTATGTACTCCGTATTTGTACTTGTATTTCACCGCAATTTCTACAAGTAAGTTGACCAACTCTGTTCAGTATTCTTGCTTTCCTTGTAAGACCAACTGTTGGATAATTAACCCCAATTTAAACATCAAGTTGTATTTTAATGGTTACAAAATTTGACTGCTTGTTTCCGTCAAAAAGAAACTCATGCCAGTAAATCAACACCTACACTATTTACAGCAGTCTGGGTAAATATAATACCAGTTACTTCTGGTGTTTCTAAAATCTCTAAATAATCTCTAGCTATTTGACAATCAGGAACAATATAATGAGTGGTATCTGTTGATAATCTACCAATATTATGATTCAATATTCCTGAAAATAAAACCAATATTATGTGTTTCCTTTATATCATTTAAACTGGGGTAATTATTCATGGAGCAATTTTAATCAAATTAATGTTAAGTTTTTGGAATGTAAATAATCGTCTATTTAAAAACAAAGCTATCATTTCATGGCAATTTGACACAAACTGTAATTCCTTTACTGTATGGAATTAAAGGAAAAATTTTGCTAATGAAAATAAGACTTTGTTATATGTGAGAGGGTGTAATCCTAATTTTTTTACATATTAAAAACAGCAGAAAAAACCCGACCAATCAGTATTTAAAAGATTAAGAGCTATCTAAGACGGTATTAGAAGGGAGAGCAAGGTACATTGTGGCCTACTTACCATCGTTTTGACACCCTGCAATACACCTGTCACTTTGACACGGTACATCTTCGCGTAAATATAATTCTCTGACTACTGTACGACCTTGATTGCCCTTGATTCTTAGGTGTCTTTCTCTTTTATCTAACTTCATGTTAAATCATAGATGAATTACTTTTCCTAAAACATCACAATGAACAGATAATGAACATTAGTTGATTAGTCATTACACAATAATATACCAATTATATTTATTTTGTAGAATATCTGAGGAAACATCTAAGACATAAAAAAAGTTTTTTTTAACTTTGACGAAATTCGGTGTCGAATCCTTATATCCACGAAAAAGGGATACACCACTGTATTAGGCTAGTCACTTGACAGGCTCAGGGAGGTTATCAGGCCAAGGCATCAATGAATATCTGGCTTCTACTGGAAGGATTCATTTCAAACACTTGTGACACTTTCCAATCCCCCAGAGATGGATGATTAATGTGATAGTAGGTGTATGATCATTAAATCTCAATTGAAAGAAAATTTAACTAAAAAATCTCCGATAAAGATTGATCATGACGTTAAATTCCTATTCTACTTTAAGTTTGAGACTATTTACTTCACATCGAACTGCAAGCACATACAAAGAAGATTATATCTCTTAGAAAATGATAAAATTGAATGAGAGAAGCATTAGCCAACAGTTTGTTTACATTCTGTAAATCAACTTCCGTTTTCTCTACGGTTACACCAAACACCAGAATGGAGTTTATGTTAAGAAATGGATCAGCATATGGGGAAAAAGAGTAGGCCTCGTGATAAGAGTGGGAAAGTAGGTGGTCAGGTCCGTGTGCCAAGGGGGGCGGCCGCATTTTCACGGAGAGCAATAGCTGATAGAGACTGATTTCAGCTTCAATTCAATTAAGAATTTGTCTAACCCTATCTAACACTGATTGCTTTTGCACTATTTTAACCGCTTTACAACCACTGGGGTATTAATTGTATCTGGTCATATCTTTGAACAACCCAAATTGACTTTTCAAAAAATGTCCACCCCCAAGTTAACCTTAGGGCTAACCCCAGAACCGCAATGTTACAACATAAAATTCCCAGACTTAACCCTAGGGTTAACCTTAAATTAACCCTAGGTCTCTAGGATATAGAATTTTTCTGTCGCAACTAACTCTAATTGCTTTTGCCCTATTTTAACCCCTTTGTAACCACTGGGTTATTAATTGTATCTGGTCCATTTAAACTCCAGTGTTATTCTTTTTTCCCGACCAATTTGTGTTGTGAAGATGCGCAACGAAGTAATATTTCATTTTAATGCGGAAATCATATCTTAGCAAGATTTAACCATTTCCGGAGCTAACCCATCCCCATGTTAACCTAAGGGTTAACCCTAGCCCTAACCCTAGTTCTCCGTGGTCTCTCTCTCACAAACACACACAGAAATTCAGTTTTTTTCGTCAATAAAATGTTTTATTTCTAACAAAACAAAATAATATCACAGTAGTAGCTTTATAGATATATATATTAATATAAATAGAATGATAAGATAATAAATGTAATTTTCTAATGCATAGAATCAGATTCAAAAAATTTCATATAAACAGAATAGCTCTTAGCACATCTTTTTCAGTGAATACATATGAGCTAATATTTTAGACATTTATGATAAGGGGGTACAGGTGCACCTCATGGCCAAGTTCTTGGAGCAACTTGACAATGATTGCTATCAGTTAATTCTGTTCTACTTCCTATTATAATTCGAATGTGTTAATAAACCTTTCAAAATAACGGCTGTTAATTTGTCAATGTGAGGATTTTGACACATACAATATTAAATAGGAATGCTATTAAGTAACTGCTAACTATAAAACATTAATACTTAATTAACACAAATTAGACATAACAAAACACAAAGAGCACTATGGCGTAGAAATACATAATATATATCACAGATAACAGTCCAACTACTTTTCTCTAGGTCTAACTAGCGGTGGCATTCCACGAGAATATTTCACTTGTTTCTGGTCTGTAATACATTTAGTAGCAGGCGGCAAAGTTGGCTTAGGAGTTTTAAGAATTGGACTGGAAATTGTTCTCTCTACTTTGACTGGTGGAGACTTTAACCTATCTGTTGGAGTAGGAGAATCCACACTGTGAGATTTCTCTAGTTTTAGTTTCTCAACTCTTGATACAGGTCTGAAAAAAGATAGTATACAAATAATTAATAATAGTATTATGTTGTGCTTTCTTTTTTGTTTGCTGAAATTGAAACTATACTGTAAAAATGCTTCAAAATGGCTACCTGATAGGCTACCTGATAGGCTACCTGATAGGTGGTTCAAAATGGATCACTGTGATTGTGCATGTCTTGAAGACAATTTTCATTTTCAAAACTTAAAAGGTATTGTAAGGAGATTTTATAAACTTTTTATGTGTATTGAAGACATTGACGGCACCAATTGGTACCATTTTATACATGTGTAGTTCTTGAAATCCCATTAAAACTATTGCAAAGGCCCTTATCATTTGGATAGTAAAAATAAAATTCTAAGCTTTAGATGAAGATGGGAATGGTGCATAGGGAAACTTCTTTACCATCCTTAAGGTTTTTTTTTTCTCTCATAATCGAAACTTAATAAGATGTCTTAAAGGCATGAGATTTTCCACTTTTTACATATGTATACTCTCTACAATTGATGTGTTGAGCACTATTTTAAAAGTGAAAATATCTTACCTTTTCATAGGAGGATCTTCAAATCGGGTAGTCTTTTTAAGAATTGGTTCAGATGTAGATTGTGCTGAAAGGGGTCTTGATGTCATATTATCCTTTTGACCTGCTGCAATAAATACAAAGTAATCATTTTACAGATTAGAATTCAATTAGAATTTGGCATGTTGTAGTATCTAAAGCATTAATACATCTAATATGCTCTAAATCTGGACTGCATTGGATCTGTTTTTTTAATTCTTACTTTCATAATTTGACATGTATAGGTCTATAATTGAATGATATAATAATATATATTGTTCTATTGCCACAAGTTTAGTCTGCATTAACAGATGAATAGGCTTAAATAAATTTTACACTGCAATAGTAAAATGATTGAAAAATACCTTAAAGCAAACACCTGAAAAAAAACTTACCTAAATCAGAAAGAGAACTAAACAGACTTTCATCTGTATTGTTTAATATCTCTTCCTTCTCTAGAGCCTGCATATAATTACTATAACTCCAGTTAACACGATCTTTCTCAGTAAACTCACTATCATCTACAATACTATCTTCATTAAGATGTTTAAATGGATCATGTCCACCAACACTTTCTTTTCTGGCCTGTAATTATTGGAAATGTTTAGTTATTATCAATCTAAGTTAGACAATTTTGTTTGTTATTAATTTTTTTGTTGATCTCTATTTTAATCTAATGAGATTTATACCAAGGTCATGTACTGGTGACATTTCAAGCAATTTATAGCAGACAATGAAGCGCCACTCTTCAGCCAATCAGAATCACTTTGACATGTAAGTATCATCAGTCATATCGTCTACTTTGGGTTTCGCTATTCCACAATTCATAGTCGATATATAGACACAGATTATGCGCTGTGATTGGTTGAAACGTCAACAGTATGCGACCTTGGAATAAATCTTTTTGAGATTAAGTAAATCTATAGTCTGGATGATCTAATAAATGATTCAGAATTATATTTTTCACTCTTTCCCCAACTGAGTCAAGTTTACAAGTGACTAATTTTGAACTTTTGGCATGACATCATCTTATTGTGAGATCTGTATTTGAAATAATATTTGTCTTTTGTATCGAATTTGTTTGAGATCAGTTACTACTAGAGAATTAGATTGTTACAGCACCTTGTATCAGTGTCCTCAAAACCATTATGTGAAAAACATTTTAGTAAGTAAATATACCACTTTGTGACAAAAATTTTTATCACAACTGATTTTGAAAAACAGTGTTAAAATTAGAGGGCTACCTTATAAGCACCAAGTAAAAAGCAGAATAGTTTATTGCCTGCAGATGTCTAAAATCCAATTTTAAGGATATTTTTTTATTTATTAAGAATCAGTAGCATGCAATTTATTTTACATACAGATGACTCAACACTCAACAAGGCCAATTTCACTCAAATTAAACACAAGAACACACTTAAAAGCTTTAAACAAACAAGTACATTACACAAAACAAAGAAACAGTTATATGGAACATAAGATATAGACTGAAATAATTCAACAAACAAATATAGCAGAAGCAAGTTTTGGTTTCAGCAGTAACATTTACAGTTATTCTACCTCATCTACTGAATCTAAAGATGATTTCTTTTTCCAGAACAATTTATTATCTGGTGCTTTCTATTGGATAAAAATTATAATGAGAACTAAAATATGAAAACTAAATGATCCTCAAATCTTCACTATGATCATGCACATGCTGGTGGATTATAGGTAAAAACATACCTCATTGATTAAACATTATTACTTGCATTTTAATGGATGATTACTTGATGTTTATGGATAATCTTAACTTTTAGTTTTATGGATAATTTGTTAATTTTTATTGATAATTGGTTATAATTTTATAAATATTATATTCTATGAATAATTACTTGTTTTTTTAAGAATTATACTTTGAAGGATCCTTTTCTGTTCAAATTTAAGATGTTCATTCTAGGAAGTAGTCTTCCTTTAAATGGATATATTTTATAAATTTCTGCTACAAAATAAAATATTAGCTGTTCATGCATCTTATTTATGATAAAGGAATAATTTGTCACTTAGTATTAGTAACAAAATATAGAAACCAATATTTACCTTTTCCATGCGTTCTTCTAATTCTTTTTGTCTTTTCTTTTCTTTAATTCTGGCATGTCTTCTCTGGCGCTCAATAGTAGGCATGATTTTATCGTCAGCCAGATTTTCTCGGAACTGACAAAATGGTTCCCAATGACTGGAGAGGACTCTGAAAACAGCCAGCTGGAAGTACAATTATAGAATAGTTTTAGTCTTTCTAGATGAAAATCAGACTAAAATGAGGTAGAAGGGGTTCGAGGGAATAACAGAATTGGATCCATGCTACTGACCTAGCTTCAGCTATCCCATAATGCAAAATAAGATGATTCAAAAAGAGTTTCATCAAATTCAATGCAGAACTATTTCTTTATAAAGTAATTAGTGATGAAGCAGAATAAAGATACATTAAGGCAATATAACTGAAAGTACAAGAAAGTAAGGTACATGCTATGTCATGGACTACATAAAAGCACATGCTGCCAATATAACCACTTGGTACTGCTAATAACACTCATGGGTAATGCACAATTGTTGAAGTTTTTGGCTTGGCAGAGTGAATTTCCACTAAGAAAGGGTGCATATTGTATTATTATACAGTATGTTTATCAATATGGTATAAACGATACTTGCCTGAGCCTCTCTAAAGAGATAAGGACCACGTTCATGTCTTCTATCTATAATTTTGTCAGCCATATCATGTGTTATATCTATCTGTATACTAGGTGGTATTTGGGAGTCCAGAAAACAGTTAATAATAGCATTGATCTTCTGTAGTAATAACCCTTCATCAGCATTAACATGGTACATATTCTACAATAAAGATTTTAGAGACACTATATATACTAGATTTTAATATGTAGATTTTTTGTAGTCTTATTCGAAATTCAAATGAAATGAGTTTTAAGTCCACCTGTACCCATTGGTATTAATCATAGGCAACAATATAATTGTCTGCAATGAGGAAATTTGCACAAATGGCCATTTTTTAGTCAATTTGTTTGAGATATGGATTAGCAGACAGTTTGCTAAGTTGCTCTTTTGCATGGAAATGGATATAGAAAAGTAAGAGAGTATAGGTGACAAGACTAACTTAACAGTAGCAAAAAAGTTTTCTTTGATCACAAAAATCCTTAAGATTTTTTATATTTGGCAAAATTTACCTTATATTTTTGAACTTCTTGCCAGAACAATACATTATTCTCTAAATTATCTCCCTTGATAGAAACATAACGTCTGAACTGTTTTTCTGTTGAAGGATTCTGTAATGCTTTCCGCAGTTGAATTATTTCCTTTGTTGAGGATGTCCAGCGACTTTCAAGCAACTACAAGAGAAAAATACACTTGTTCAATTATAACCTTCATTTGTAAACGCAATTTTCTGAAAGTCTGAGGCTATTTGCACCGCGGCGGTACAAAAATGGGCATCAAATAACATATGGCCATCCCTACCTAGCCCTAACAAAGTCACTTAATATCATTCTGGACAATCATAATGCCCTCATGCTTTAAAAAAAAAAACCAAAACTAGCCCGCCTATTGTATCCTATCTTATTGTGCAATTAACCCTGCAAATAGCCAGTGTGTTTGTGAAAATATATGTGTAAATATTTACTTTACCAGCTAATTCCAGCAACATGGAAACTTATGATGTTTAAGCAAAGCAAGAGGAAAACTGACCTTCCAAACAGCTTGTGATCTTCTTCTCCTTTGAACCATTACATCATCTACGACGTCTGCCATAGTCTCATCAATCTTCTGACGTTCAGCAAACTCATCAGTAGTTAAAAATAGAGGAAACCATTTCTTCTCCAGCCTTTCTTTCACATATTTCTGGGCTTCTAATATAAGAGCATTTGGTGGTTTATCTTCTAATAGTTTACCCCATCCACCACCTGCAGCTGCTACCTGAAGAATAAAATATTATTTTTCTAAGTCTTGTTGCACATGTAGACTAGTCATCATCACTATCCAAGACGACCTAGCTGGAAATGGGTACTAATAATCAGAGAAGTAATAGTTCAAACCCTATTTCAGATTTTTTTTTGAGTGTGCTTTAATGAAGCACAAGCTGTAGCATCCAGTCCATTGTTACATCATGTAACATTCAGAATAGAAGCTTACCTTTTGAAAACTTTATTCTTTGCCTACTGGCTGATAAAAATTTAATAAACACAAAATACCTTATCTTGTCCCTCTTTACCAGCTGGGCTGTTTGGACCAAAGAAATACTTCTTATTCAAGTACTTTGTTTTTATTTCTTTGGCTTTCTGATCTCGTTTCTTCTCATCAGTGTGTGGTATTCTTCTCCAAGCTTCAATATCCATCCAACACATTAAATCCATACTGGCATAATTATCAGATAAGTAATCTCGGAAATGGTCCAACTCAATGCGATTATGAACCAGTTTCTCCAATGACAGATCCACGAAATCGTCTGGTATTTGATCAAATAATGAAGGATCATAAACAGGATCTTCATAACCACCCATAGGATCATCTGGTGTTAACACTCTCTGAAATAGCCATCTTTATCATCGACAGAAAACATTTCAAAAAAACTTTAATTCAAATTGGAATTGTAAAATGAACTGTAAGCCTAATTGGTTTTTTGTAAGTCCCCTGTAAGAAAAAAGTGGGGAAGAGGGGAAACAAAATAATTTGAAATTTTTTGTTGAAACTCTGGTAATTTTGGAGTACCATGATAAATGATTTTTAGGTAGATATTGTCCTACAAACAATTTTGACTCCAATATCTTATGCTTATGACACAAAATAAGTCAGATATTCAAATGACGATCGAAAGTTACTTTTTTCAAATATTATTTTTTTCATCCACGGCCCTATTACCTGCTTGTCAAGGGTACAAACAAACTGACTGAAAAGTTTTATTATTGTCTCACCTCTTTTATCAAACCTCTCTTTTGTAGATGTAAAACATATTTTGATTTAGTTTCAAGATGGCGTTTGACATCAATTAATTCAACCTAGAATATGAATTAAACTCATTTTGATTATGATACTATCAACCTTAAATATTTTCTAGAAATCTCAAAAAAATGTACAGAGCCTTGGCTCCATTTCTCAAAATATTCCACAATCAATTTTGTCATAAGTGTCATTGTAATATAAAATTAAAAACTTTTGATTGAAACTCTGTTCTGATTATTTTTTGTTACAAGATAAAGTGCAATACCTTATTATAAATCCTCACATCTTCTTTAAGATTACTGATCCAGGCAGAATACAATATCTCTAAAACATGTTCTTCTACATCATCAAATAGTTCTTCATATGGTGGATTAATATGATGATAGATATCAGAACGTACATCTGATGAACTGTTAACATCACATGGTGCTGATACTACTACATATTTAGAATATATATACTGAAAAAAACACCATAAATTCATGAAAACAAAATGAGAGTAAAAGTTGTAGTAGTAGTTGTCCTTTTTCAAAATTCATTTACAACAGTTATTAACTATTAATTCAGGCTCAGAAACTGACCATTTAAACCTCACATCAACGACCGTTGTCCTACAGGTCACATACTTACATGATACGGATGTGGCTGGGGAAGCTGGGGTTACCAAATGACATCACAAAGTCATAAAAGCAAGTTCCAGGTAAATTTTTCAATCAGTTTCCAAAGGGTTAATTCATGTTCATCATTATTTTGTTCATGGAAAAATAAAATCTATACCTGAGATTTAGTCTTCAGTTTAAAAGGTTCGATTGTCTCATGGTAAAACAGCTCTTTATATTCTTGAACATCTAACCAAAATTTTAAACAATTCTTCCAAAGCTGAAAATTTCATTGATAACAGAAAGTACTGATAATATCTGAGACATATTCAAAACTTTGTGATAGAAATTAAATTCATCCAAACTAAGAATGTTAAAACATTTCCTTTTCCAAAAGTTTCTTTTTGCTATTTGTTGCAAACTTACATTATTTCCACTACGTTCAATAAATTTAGTAAAAAATCCACCAGCATATTTCTCATTGCCCAAAGCTCGAAGTAAAGCTTCCATTCTCCGTCCACCAATGAACTCTGATTCTATGCTGGCTTGTGAAACTCTTCTCAATATTGGTTTAGGAGATTGAGAAGCTGTAGGAGGTCGTACAACTTGTTGTGGTTGAGGTGTAGCTGATATCACCGTTACTGAAGTGGACTCCCAGGATTCAGTAGAAGAAGATGAGCCTGCTGTTCCTGGCCGTAAAAATGCTGATCTATTTGGTTTTAATTTAGCAGATGATGATCTATTAACAGAGTAAAACAAGTTAAATAAATGTCTGCCACATTAAAAATAATAAATGCTACTTAATGCGCATGTAGTTGTTCAAATCACCCTCCATATTCATGATCCACAAGCTGATTAAATCACATGAAATGAGTGAAAAGTCATTATAGTCATTCATCACCGTCAAAATTTGCGACCTCCACTGATTGAAATTAAAAGAAGTAAGTAGATGATTTGATTAGGATTATTGAAATTAGCATAAGATTTTCTGTATAATTACTAAAAATAACTACCTGGATAATGCCGAGTGACTTTTAGCAGTTGATGGTCTCACTCTTAACCTAGGTTCTAGGAAGTCTCTAGGAGTTTTCTTTATAGATGGTGGTCTAGGTTGAGGACCAGCTGTAACAGGTCTTTGTTTAGGGAGATTTGAATAGGATCTTCTCATACCAATAGGTGGTGAGGTTATATTGGGTGGTTTATAGTTATAATCTATAGACACAACCTACAATGTTTCAATAAATCTTGCACTTCAAAAAATCTAAGTTCTCTATTTCGTTAAAAAGCAACAGAAAGAAGAAAAATGATGAGAGCAAACCAGATTAATTTTTTGTCATCGAGAACTATGACTTGTCAAAGGTTTATTTTTTTCCAATAAATCTTTTTCTACTTAGATTAATTGGTAGAAACTGGGTTGAATTTAATGTGTTATCTAACTGGCATCTGAGCATGAAAATGAATTATTTAACAGAAATATGCCCTGGATTACCTCTTCAATAACAGGAGTGGTATGAATTCTAGGATGACAGGATTTAGGTCGTAATGGCAGTAGAGTTTTTGTTGGTGGGTTTGGATCAGTATCTATTTTACGTTCATTTAATAGATGCTGATGATGATACAGATAATATTTCTTAGGATTGGATTTCATCAGTTGTTTTAGAAGAAATCTTGGTGCCCTGGAAGAATCATGAATATTACCTCAATAATTGCTAAATAAAAATTATAATAATTGCTTTTATAGGGATTGTAAAGAAGTTTTTATACTTTTTATGTTTCTCATGGACACTGATAACATTGATTTGTACCCTTACAAATTTCAGTCAGATGCCCTTGAGTAGATTTTATTAACAGTTTTGCAATAGTGACATCACATAAATTGGAAAGATGCAAATAAATAACCTTGAAACACAAAAAACACAAACAAAGATAAATAAACCTCTTCACACCCCCTTTAATAGATACAAAAGATTGGGCTCTTCTTTACGATGGAATGCATAGTTCTTTTCTTTCAGAGAGCAGTTTTTCAAAGAAATAACTTGGATTTTCAGACATTTCGAGTAAAAGAAGCCAAATAAAGTTATCAGCTCACCAATAAGATACAAGTGGTTCAGCTATTTTATTTTGTATACTTTGTAATTTTCTGACAGTCCAACTACTAGGTTCTACCAGTTTTAACTGTGATTTTAATTCTTTACTGAGTTCATAGGGTGATCCTGTCATATGATACTTCTCTCTCATTTCAATCAAATACCTAGAATGACAAAAAATAATACCATTGTTTTAGGACTGCAGAACACCTGATTTCATTCTGAATTTGTTCATTGGGATCTCTAACTGAAAATACTGGTAGCTATTAGTAGATTTCTATTACTAAAAAGAACAGATTTGAACGACAATTAGAAGTGGAGAGTAGATGTAACCCGTCATCTGATGACGACACGTGAAAATTGTGTTATGTGCTTTGTTATTAAAGAAGTGAGTTATACTATAATATACCCCTTGTGTTTTTTGTTATACTAAAAAGAACTGCTAAGCAGGTATCAAAATCTTATGGATAGTCCACATACTTAATGTTTTTTTGGTATATTTCATTTTTTGTTCAAGAACTTTACCAAACATAATAAAATCTACTCACTCAGTAACATTTTTGTCTTTAGGAAACAGATGAGATCTATCTATATCAATCCAAAGATTGAAATATTTTTCGCCAACAGTACCCTTGAGAAACAATTTAAATTGGTGTATTCCCTTCTTATTGCTCAGATCAAAGGTTTTAATCTTGTGTTTCCTGAAGAATTCATCTCCTTCTTCATAATCATCTTCACTATCTAGAAGTGAATCAACATCACTCTCTTCATCTTTTACATCTGGTTTCTCATCAGGCAGTTCTGATTCTTCTTCAATTTCTTCTTCATTCTGAGAATCCAAGTAAGATACATGTTCTAACATTTCTAAGGTCAGATATGTCAAAGATGGGTCTGAAAACACAGAGGTTATTCTTTCATCCTTTTCTAGCTTTTCTTCATCAACACCAGTAATTTCTGCTATAGATCTTTTTAAAACTGCACCCACAATGACTGAGCCCAGTTCATCAATATCACTGACGACAATACTCTCTGTACTAGCTTGTTTTAACATGTCTTCTGATTTGTTCTTCACACTTTCTATCTCCGATTGTGATTGGTTGTCAGTAGATTGAGATGGAGATTGTCGATCTTGATAATTAGTTTGAGATTCAGTTTCGTAATCCATATCTTCTGTATCACCTACCCCTGATTCAGAATCTGTTGACTCTGATTTAGGATATGAGTATGTTACACCTTGATTAGATTTGAATGAATTCTGGTCCCCAGTTAAAACACAACAGGTGTCAGATGGTCTAGGGGTGGTGGGCTGAAGGTCAATATAGATATTGTCAGGTATGTTTTCTTCATCCACTTCTTCTGTTCCTGATACACCTGGTGTGTAATTACCAAAATAAGCACTACTAAATACAGAACTTTTCATTGGACTACCAAAACCACTATCTGATGTCCGATAGCTTTCTGAGCCACTTATAGCACTTCTAGGTCTGGAGCTAGCAGGTCTGGCTATACCTGGTTGAGAGGAGGACAAAGGTCGTGTTAATGTTGTAAAGGTCAAGGCAGCATCTTGAGCAGACTGTGCTTGTGAAAACCATGCATCAGATTCTGTTGTTTCAGTTGTTCCAAGAGATACATACATATTCTTGATCAATTCTTCTTTAGGATCAACTTCTTCTTCTTCTTCCACTGGCTTCTCTTTACTTTTCTTTATTCTTGGTCGAAAATCAATCTTCATGATGACAAACTCTCCTGAATCACCAGTTAATCTGGCTTGAGACAATATCTTACTCAAACGGTATTCTAGATAACAATCACTCTCTAGAAATGCTGGTAATCTTTCAGCTTTAACCCAGTGTATTCCTTGTTCCTTGTTCAATGTCTGAAAAGATACGAGATGTATAAGTAAGACAAAAGCACATAAAGCGAAAACAGAACATAATGTGTACAAAAAGATGTATTTCAGAATCAAGTTCTTGAAATTACCTCTATGAAGGGGTTATATAATCAAGGGTTAGTGTAGAATCATTTACACATTTCTGTAGCTTAATTGGAACATTATTTTAACAAAAAGTAGGCTAACTCAACCTGGTGCCAGTTGGATAAACTTCTACCAAGCAATTTGAATCCCCATTCCAGGCAAAGACAAGTACAGATGCCACACCCAATATAATTTCAATATTTCACAACCCTCCCCCCCCCCTCCCCCCCTCCCTCACAACTGCAGATGAAATCTATACTCACAGTAACAGTAAAACTGGTATCAATTTCTACTTTTTCTGGTCCTTCACTTTCCTCTATTGGTATCAATGGTATATCAATAAAACTATGGTTTTTCACTACTCTGTACATCTTTTTCCTTGGTGTTTGAGATCGTACAGCAGCTTTAATCTGCTTTGCCAGTTCTTTCTTGGCATCAGTGACCACTTCAAATCCTCCTGTTTCTTCATTGAAGCACAGTGGTTCTGGAAAGCTCTACAATTTAAAACACAATAATGGACTCATACCAACTGAACCTGGCATTCCATTCAATATATTGTTTTTCTCATTTTAAAATCATTTCCTGTGCATTAGAATCAGATAATGGCAATTAATGATGATAATGCATTGGATAAAATGTGATAATAGGTGAGTTAATTAAATGTAGGAAATGGAGCATAAGTAAGAATCTGTAATATGGAATATGGTATGGATAATTAGGAACAGGATGGGTGGGTTCCTTACTATTAAATTAAATAAACGAGTTAATAACATTAAAGAAAATTGAATTAAATAAGGGATTCTATGTAATGAAATGATGTAAAATACAGACATTATGCTTGCTAATGTACCCACTTTCTATATTACGAGTCTTTTTCTACTTTCTCTTTACTTATTTTAGTTTTCGATCTATTTGTGATTTGTTGTGTTGAATTTTTCAACACAAAATCAATCTGAACTTTTTAACAAGCCCATGTGAGAACCCATATAAAGCGAAAATTAGATAGGTTTGAATCTAGGGTAACAAATTTATTAAGGGTGGACAAAAGGTTAAGGTTTGTGTCGTGAATAAACAATAGTAAAGAGGACAATATTTAACTTGCTGTCTAACAATAATGACATTATCAAACAAAATATAGAAACAAGCAGTAACATGTATTAATATATTAATAAAGGTAACAAAACATAACAATGTTCTCTTTGAACTTTAAATATTAACCCTAGTTTTTTTTATCTACAAAGTCCCTCATGGTGAATATTAAAACTTATTGTTATATCTTCTAATATTTTGTACAATTTCTTGAAATCCAATAAACATTACTAAATTATTATACCATCTAGCAAATGATTTATATAATAGTAAAATAAAATTACCTTTGGGCTACTAAATTTTTTATTTCACTGGTACCTTGAATTTTTGTTTGCTGTTAAATGCAATTAAAATAAAATTGATTTGAACAAGGATTGAGCACTATTTTAACAGTTTTTTTATTTCATTTTTGTAACCTGGAATAAACTGTTCTTAAGATTATGATTTATGTTTATATCATAACCTGTGACAATAAAATTAGTTATTACCTATGTTGATAAAATGTTTATAACCTAGGTAAATGAAATACATCTTTTAACTTGTGCCAATGAAATATTTTTATAACCTATGCCATTGAAATATGTTGCTAACTGTATCAATCAATATGTTTATAACCTGTTCCAATAACATATATGTTTATAACCTGTTCTAATAACATATATGTTTATAACCCGTATCAATGAAATATGATTATAACCCGTATCAATGAAATATGATTATAACCCGTATCAATGAAATATTATTATAACCCATATCAGTGAAATATGATATATTCTGTATCAATGAAATATGATTATAACCCGTATCAATGGAATATGTTTATAACCTGTATCAATGAAATATGATTATAACCCGTATCAATGAAATATGATTATAACCCGTATCAATGAAATATGATTATAACCTGTATCAATGAAATATGTTTATAACCCGTATCAATGAAATATGTTTATAACACGTATCAATTAAATATGTTTATAACCTGTATCAAAGATAGTTGCCAGACAAGGTAATATACGCCCACTGGCAGCTTTGATTTATTAATATAAATTAATATTTGGCAGTACAGTAACAATCACCAGTATGAAATATCCAACCTTCTGTCATACACTTCTTTTGAACTCTTTAGGGCGATATTGAATAATATTGAGTATGAGTTATTGGCCTTGTTCTTGAAAACGTGTTCAATTTTTAGCTCGTGAAAACTCTAGAAGGCAAATATTCAATCTTCAGCACAGGACTGAATAATAAAACCAAGTTTTGTCAAAATACAGCAAGAATCTTGCTTTTTAGTGTTGAAGAGCTTAAAATTGAACTCGTTTTCAAGAGCAAGGGCAATAACTAATAGGTTTATCCTTGGGTGATAACAAACACTCAGACCAAGTTTCGTCAAAATCCGTCAAGAATTGTGCCTACTAAGATGTTTACAAGCTAAAAATTGAACGCGTTTTCAAGAACAAGGGCAATAACTCATACTAAATATTTTTCGATTCTTCTGATTTTCAATAGTGTTCATCCTTGATTGATAACAAACACTCATATCAAGTTTTGTCAAAATCCGTCAAGAATTGTGTCTTGTAGAGTGTTTACGAGCAATTGTGGACGGACGGACGGACATGGGTGACAGCAATATACGCCCCCCATTTCATGTGGGCATATAAAAAAATATGTTTATAACCTGTGTCAAGGAATGTACTTACAGGTAAGCTGAGGAAAGTGTTGAAATATTCCACAAACAGACTATCTGTAGCCAGAAAATCTTCCTGAAAGTAGAAATACAATATGAATATCAAAAATATATTTCCTTATATCCTGCAAGGAAGAAAAATTTCTATTTGGAAGATTAGTGTGAGGAAGCAATATGCAATATATAAAAATTATAAAAGAAAATAAGCTCAATCAATACTAATTAATCTGGTATTACTCATTATGTCAACTGTATAATATAGGGTATTGAATTAAACCTCAGAATTCCATTGAGAAATCACAAAAATCAATATATCAATTATTGGAATATTTCAGTTTTCTTTAAGAATTTGAGAAAGGAAATAGAATATTCAAATTAGCCTATTGGCTCTATTCACATGATGTGAGGTGTTGTTTAAAAATATTTTACAGAGAATGGCTCAAGCAGAAGAAAGATCATCATGCTGTGTTTGAATGAAAAGGAATATCGTAGGCTGGAAACCCACCTACAATGCACAGTAACTGATCATTACTTTGGGTCTCCCATCTTGAGAATGCACCGAGCTAGGGGTTGAAACTACACGAATAGGAAGGGTGTCAGATGAGGATGTCAGTGGTATACCAAAGAGACATCAGAGCTGTATAAATATAATAACATCTAACAAAACATATTGTTCTCATTAAGAATATATATATGCAAGACGAGGACAAAAATAATCCAAGCTTGTAAACCAGAGTATACATTTTTTGACAAATTTCCAGCATATCACAGTTTTATGGTTAAAGGTTTTTTGATCTTACATAGCTTAATCTGAAGCTGGATTTAAATAATCCACTTATGCCTTAATCTCAGTTGTATTTAGGTCAAAACATAGGTCATTAGTTAAATAACAATTAGTAATTACATCAGTGTATTAAAAAAAAATGGAATAGTTTTATAAGTCCAATTTTTAATTGTAAATTTCCACATTTACATTAATTTTAATGTTGACAATTTTTTATTTGGAAAATGAATTGTTTTTATGCACGAACTGAAGTGTGGTATTTCTCATAAATAAATAATCTACACCTTAAATCTTTGTAAGCTATTCAAGATCTCAGGGTTAAATTTAATGCCTTATTACATTTGTTTTCCAATAAAAAATTTAAATGGTCAACATGTTCATCAAATAGAGCCTAGCCCCTGTTTTGGAGAAAAGATTCCATTTTTTTCTTATTAGTTCACCTTCATCAATAAACTACACAAGATTTGATCTAAGTACTATTTTCTATTTAGTCAACTACCTATGAATATACCACTAATACTATCAAAATACTACTTGTTACTAACCAAGTACTGTGATTTACTTTTAAACTCCACCATTTTACTATATTCAATTCCAAATGAGATTTGTTTTTTTCACATTTTAAAACTCTTGAAAAACAGGAACCAAAGACTGAGTGAGTTTTAAAACATATTGAATTCCAATCAATACTCAATATAATTTCATAGCAATTTCACTGTGTTTAGGTTGACAACAGAAGTTCTATTGATCACCTTTCTCTAGTTGTATAGGTATTCAACCCTAACTCTTACTATAATACCTATACATAATTCTAATATAGAACACTCCACTTAAAGAGACCTGGTCTAATCTACCCATTTCTATTCAAGTATATGAAAACATAGATTTTTTTATGTTCATACATATTAATTTGAGAGTTATGTATAGATTTCCTTAATATGCTTTAAGAGATAACAGAGTTAACTTTCAGCTATCTTTATCACACACTACGAAAATATGGTTTTAATAAAGAATTTTGTAAAAAAAAAAAATCATGTACATGTACATTTTTGTATTCACACAAAGTTTCAAAATCCAATATAAATCTCTCATTCCATTTTCCAAGTCAAGGATTATATTTTTAGTCAAGGCCATTAATTCAATCGTGAAAATGGAATCCATTCATATCTCTTCAATATAAATAATCATGGTCAGTTTCATCAAAGCTTAAAAGCTAATTCAAGGGCAATAACTCTAGAACTGGTGAACAAAAATTTCTATACATCAATCTGATCTCATAATGCATACTAAAATCTGATTAAAACAATCTCTAATAAATGTGATCACAAGCACTATATGTCCACATTATAATGAAAGTTGATCATAACTTTATCAAATATTTCAAGGACAAGCAAAGGTTATAAGTGAAAAGAGTTCCATTTGAAATATTTTACCCATTATGTCGCTTTCAATTTTAAAAAATTCTACATCTAGCTTTAGACAGATATTTAAAAGAATTATGAATTTTATTGAAATCGTTGGGACCTGGCAATTACCTTTAAATAATACTTCCTTGTTACAAAAGATATTTTAATGTATATATTTTGATATTTCAAAAGAACTAACATTTATACATATAACCTCTTAATAAATTATTGTAAAACACAGCTTTCTTATCTTAATTAGAAAATAATATTCACTGTAGAATATAACTACTAATAAGTTTAAATCCCTTGAACTATAGTATAAAATTTATAAATATGCCCACTACAGAGTGCAGCTGGACATTGGTGAAATGAGAAACATTTAGAAAATTATGAAAAATCAGATAAAAATCAAAGTGCTAATTCTAATTCATCCTGTGTTTTAAATTGAAAATTGTTGTAAACTGTTAGCTTAGATGAGTTGGAATTTGCAATTTTTTATCAAGGGAATTTTGAGTTACAGTTTTATCATTAACATAAATAAATTATAGGCCTTCCCAATAAAAATACTAAAATAACATTATAACAAATTTGTGGACTCAAGGATAATCAAAATTATCTACATAACCATATCAAAGTGTCAATCATTATCCAACTCTCTTTTGTTTTCCACTTGTCAAAAGATCTTTATCTTAGACAGTCTAAAGCATATTGGGTTCTACTTTATTGCCCCCTACCCCTAAATAAGTTGACATCTTGCAGGAAAAAACAGGTTTAAAGATCCCATGACTAGTTCTGAACAAACGAGAGTTCCTTGTATATAGTAAACATAGGCTTGCAGCAAGTCTCGCAAGCAAAAACGCCCACAAGCAGCTTGATAAAGAGCTAAATGTGAACTGTAAAAAAAACTCTATATCGTAGCCTGTAGGGTGAGCATGAGCCCAAAAAGTGAAAAAACGCGATATCGGAGTTTTATGTGATATCTCTAAAGAAAATCATCGGATCGTCACCAAATTCAATTGTGCACATTTTCATAATGATATTGACACACAAACAAAAGATCAAAAGAATCAATAGAGAATTGTAGTCTGTAGAGTGAGCACGAGCCAAAAAAGTGAAGAAAAAAAAACGAACGCGATATCAGAGTTTTATGCGATATCTCTGAAGAAAATCATTGGATCATCACCAAATTCAAAAGTGCAGAACTTCATAATGATATTGACACACATACAAAAGATCAAAAGAATCCATGGAGAATTGTAGTCTGTAGAGTGAGCATGAGGTAAATGTGAACGGACGGACCGACAGGGGCAACCACAATATACGCCCATACTGAGGTGTGGGCGTATAAAAATATCAAGATACATGAGAACCAAAAGCAGAAATTTGAATGATAGTATAATGAGACTAGTCCAATTGTCTACTTGAATATCAATTGAATATTTCAAGTTGTATTAAATACCTTTCTTAATGTAGTTTTTATTGCCTATTTAACACTCAATATCTATTTCGTATATATATAGAAATTCTACATAGGTAGAGAGCAATGAATGCATGGTCATAAAGAGTCATTAACAGTAAGGGTCTGGTTTCTCGACCCCCTTGTGACGTTTTGAAGTAGCTGGATCCCCCCATTTCTACTTATAGTGCCAAACAGTGAAAGGAATAATTTAGTGACATCTGAGTTTTAGAAATATCTTTTTAAAAAAAACCCTTATACTTATGGTATTTTGTATACAACAATCAAAGGTGTCCTCTAGAATGAAGGATATATTAACTATTGTCAGCAATTATAAGTAAATCAGTAGATAGACCTGAATTGGTTATTTCCCTTTATAATCAACTGATCAAAAACTTGGCTATATTTGAGGGCTAATAAAAAAGGTTAAAAAAAGTAAATTATTATACTTCTATTTCTGCACAATGATATGAAACAGATAGCCAATTGAATCTGGATAGATGTATTCCATCTGAGTCTTTGACAGGATTAAATTAACCCGAGCGATGCTTCCAGAAGTTCACATCAGTCCTTTGTTTACACGCGTCTGTGAGTAGTTTATTAGAATTTGCGAAATGTAGATAAACAAGATCAGTCTCAGCAAATTTGTCAAATGACCTAACTATATACTTCCATCTCTGCACAATGATATGAGATGCACCCAAGTTGCAGATGTAAAGGTCTCTTGTAACAATTCAGTTAGTAGTAGCTCTGTACTTCTGACTGTAGTGCAGTAGATTTGCAATTTGAATTAGACATATAGGGCTTGATTTGATGTGATTGAGTCTATCAAAGTCCACAAAGATATCAACATATTCAAAATATTGCACTGAATTTAAAATGATTTTTATGAATAGAAATATATTAAGATAAATCTCATCATAAATTTGTTTTCAAAGATCAATTCATAATGTTGGGGAGGACTATATATTGTTGCCATAGGTAACAAGGATATAATGAGAGATTAAGTCGCTAGATGATTTCTAAATCCCAGTCTGAAAGCCATGACAAAAGCCAGATGAAGTGTTCAGACTATTATAAAGTCATAACTATTGTCTGTTTATTTGAAGGGATTATATTCATAGAGAGAAAGGCTTACTTCTTTTATTCTGACTGAATAAAAACTATTTTTCTTCCAATTATCTAGCAATATTGTTAACACTTTATTGTTTATTGACCAAAAACTTGAAATTCTTAAAATCAACAAAAACCCATTAGTATAAAATAATATTGTCCCACTAGTCTACACTAATATTACTAAATTCATGGTTGACTAATTGATTAGTGTGTTTATTTATTGTATTCATATTCTGATCAAATTACTTATAGTGACTAAATTTCAATATAATAATTTACAACATTATTTATATACACAGATATGACTTCAATATTGTTAAATTGCCTTTTTCAAAATTACCAATTCTCCCAAGAGTTGCTATTCAAATTCTTTCTATACGATCTTCACTTCTTAAAATGATTGCAAAGAGGTTATCTAAACTTTTTAAGTGTATCGGAGACACTGATAGCATCTATTTGCACCATTTCAATTTTCACCCAGACGTCTATGGCTCCTGCAATTCCACTAAAAACTAACGCATTTTATGACATCACTAATCGCAAAATGCTTGTATCACATAAAACACTTTGTGATTTATAACGGCATCAAACACTTAGTTTTAGTGGAATTGCACGAGCCACCCACTTCTGAATGAAAATTGGAATGAGGCAAATGGGGATAATGGATTGAACACATGACATAAATAATCATACTTTCGTGCTTATTTTCAAGTTGGTGAATTAAAACAGGATTGACATGAAAACTCTACTTACAATACACTCTTCTTCAATCTCTGGTGGTTCTGAAATTAAAGTAAATCATATAAACTACATATTGATTAGATTTAGCCTGACAACTTTTATATCCATCAGTAGTCAGACTTTAGATCAACTCAAATAGATCTTTATGACACTTTTTAAACTTAATTCAAAATAATATATAACCTCCAAAATAATTCATAAAGAGATAAATTGGCCAATGATCCCTGAATATTGATTACATAGTCTCAACAATGTTCCTTTTTTCAATAATGTTTCATATAACAAACATAGCACCTTAGATTTGGTATGATCATCACTTATACAACAATACCCTGTAACCTTAACTTACTCAAAACTGACACTATATCTTGTCTATCTTTCAATATAGGTCCAGTGGGATATTTCCTTTTACATCTCATTTTAACACAACAATATTAAAATCTAAAACAGTTTAACATATCATATCCAATAAGCACTTGAAACTCCTTATAAATTTTGTCTCATTTGAACTACATTGGGGCAATTTCAACAGATAATAAATCTCATATAATATGACTTCCTAGAACACGATAATATGGTCATAACTTCACTAAGAGAACAGATTTTATAAATGGGTCTTTTATCTAACATATTTCATTAATCTGGGTAGTGCTTTATCTTACTACAGATAATCTTTAATCTTTTAATCTTATTGCAGATATTAAAACTAAGAATAAAACATGTCTTAATCCTTTAGCAACATTTACTGGTATAGATATCCTGCATGTCCTTTCAAAAGATTTGTCTGGAATACGTGTCAGTTGTATCAAAATAGAACTAATGAAGTACAACAGATTGTAATGACTGCAACCAATTGGATTAAGATTAGAAGAATATGAATTAGAAAAAGACAGATAAGAAACATATGCAAGTGAAGTAAATCTTTCCAAATTTCTTTCAGTCTGTCTACAAAAATAATACTAAGATCACTAAAACATGAAGACACTCAACTTTTACATGAAATCTTCAATTAGAAATCTTCCATACTTTAATACTATACTTTCATTATTACCAGGCTTCCTAATTAGCATATGTCATACCTAGACAAAGATTTTTGTCCAACAATAATTGTTTTACTTAATTTAGGATAATCTGTTAATCTTCAGATATTATACTTTAATCCCTGGATTATAAATCTTCTATACAGATTTATTATCTTAGATCATATTTCATTGTCCTTAATATTCAAACAGTCCAGTTAATATCATACATATTTTAAAATCCAACTAGATAAAACTTATCCCTCTTTGTCAAGGGTTTTCAATCTGAGGGTAAATGTCGTCCCCATACCTACAAGGGAATAATTTTGAAATATTTGGGGGCTTTGTATTTTCGCATAAAATTTTGGGAAAATTATAACTTAAGTCAGTACTTAAGTCAGTCAGGCTATATATTCTCCAAGGAGAGAAGTGAAAGAAATCACAAAATAGTGAGGATTTATATGAGGAAGGGAGTAATGCAATTGATTTACCAGGTAATAGAATTTAAAAAGTTTGAAATCCCTGGTTTATATCATTGCTACTTTGAAGCTCTAGACATTGTAATATCATCTGTTTATATCTTTAACATTCCATAATTCATTAGCTTATACAAATTTATGAGAAAATGAGAAAGTTATGTACAATATCTCTAATATCTGACTGTCTTTATCATTTGTATGTAAACAATGAAACAAAATTTCACCAATTTTATAGATGATTTCCCATTTGATGAGGGATGATGACAATTCCATGTGTCTCCAATAGACATAGAAAGACCACAAAACCAGAAAACCTCTTTCCAATCAATTCATTTTTACAAAGTCGCTTTTTAAACTGTTATATCTCTTTTTAGACAAATTCTTACCTCTTACCGTATTTCAATGACCATTCCATTTGAAGAAGATATTATAACTATAAAAATGAAAGATACCAGTACTTACCAATTTGAACCAGTATAGTATCTAACATAATTTTTTGTTATATAGAAACAAGAGTTATAGTGGTATTGTACATCCTTGTTGATCTTTATTAAAGAATCTCCTCTTAACAACCATACTAAAATACAGTAAAACAATATTCCTTTATTCTGTATGAGGCACTATTCAAATTCTTAGATCACAAAACCAACAACATATCATCCAAGTATTAAATATAAGTAGTGTATGGACTGGTCGACTGATTAAGAAGCTATTTCCAGTCCAGTTAAACTATTCCCTCAAGTGATCATACTAATATTGATAGAGTATTATTACTATTATTGATAGGCCCATATTGATCATATTGATAGGTTCAATGATCATAAACTCATATTACTCTTTATCTTTATATTGTTCACTAATAACAGGTCTTTACAGAACATATACTATCAAACATTATATGATTCTTAACTAAAATTAGGCAGTGAATATTTATGTTCAAGTTTACAAGTTTGGAAAAAGGTTTCTTATTATCGAATTTAAAATTCAGAAATATCAATTATTTGCCCAGTCCTAGCTTAGATGAATTTCAAGTAGGTATGTAAGGGGAAGAAGAGCCATTAAATAAGCTAATCACTTAGAACAAACCTCTGTATGGCAAAGCCCAGCCATCTGATTTTTTGAAAAATGCTACTTATCTGTCATTGCTGAAATCCTTAAGAAAAGATTTTTAAAGTTGTCCTAAGACCTGTTGATAAACATATTTAAGTTATAAAAAAAATCTATAAAAGATGCATGTCAAAAAATTTATTGATTTCAGAACGACAATTTGATTGCCAAGTTTTACCTTGCCAATTACACCTTATACACTAAACAATTCAACCAATTCATGTTACTATTGTGTATGGAGCCTTGTGTATTGGTACAGTATTTGATTCACAATTGTGAACCATACAAAATCATTAATGTTGAGAACCAAAGTTGTGCAATTTATGGTAGAAATTTGTAGGTTTATGTAGGCTTTAATAATATGTAATATAGACACGTTGTTTTGTATCACAGATGATTGTTCATATTTAATTGTTCTACTTCTAAACAGATTTCTCAATCAGATCAATTATTGTAATTTGTATTTTGCTAAGCCTACTACGTATAAAGAAACCTTCTTCTTGAAATCAATTATAGTATCACAGCTGGATAAGTCAAAAGTTCCAAATGTAGGCTATAAATAGTGCTACTTATTTCATACAAGATAGACCTACATGATAGACCTGATGGAGCCTCCAAGGCTCAAAGAATTGTTCACTAACCTGAACGATCAGATAGCCTCCAAAGACTGGGGGTAGCCTACATATAGGGGCAAACTGAAAAGAAAATTTTTGAAAAAAACATTGATTTGATGCCTTCTGACACACATTATGGGGCAAAAACGTATAAAAATCTTATTATAAAATTTGTTATAATTATAGTAGGAGCAACTTCTATCCCAACTGTCAGAGGGGCTGACATGGAAAAAGTGTTTAGTCGTTTGGATGGATAACAAAAGAAGGTAGTTGGAAATCGAAAGAGTTCTGTTCTGACAAAATTTCTCTCATCGAATCAGGTGAAAAAAAGTATGATGCAATAGAGTTTATTTTATTTCACTTCAACCTGAGTATGGCCATGGAACTGTCTTTTAGATATTGTTTTTTTCTTGAAATAGCTAATCTTGTTTTTGGGCCTTATTTTCCATCAACAATGATAGTTTTAATTTATTAGGTCTTAAAGCACTGTCTGATTGAGAAGGTGTGCAAAACTGGTGAAATGAAAGGTAAAAAAGTAATGGTGTGTTGTTAGACCTACTAGGCTAGGCCTAGTTTAAATGTTGCAATTTTGTTGGTTGGCTAAAGAATTTAGCCTTAAATGAAACTTATTGTACAAGACAAACGATTATGTGCTTAAAAGTAAAAATATGAAATCGTTAATTCATATGTGTTAATCGGAAGTTTTCAAAACCAACAAATTAAATTTTCATTCAACTTTTCTCTTGCACACTGGAGCATTGAAATTCGCTTCTCAAACGGTCGGCGAAAATCGGCAAATGTAAAGGGAGACAACTCTCATTTGTAGAGGGCAATAAAAATGGCTGATAAATGGAAATTATTCCCAAACCCTGATTAAAAAATGTGAAATATTGACCTAAGCGATTTGATTGAGTTGCATGCATATTTTAAAAGTTTGATCAATAATTTTTCTATCTACAGACGTACAAGTGATTACAAGTGATTTACCATGGCCGGTAAGTCGAGTTTCAATTTCAGTACTCTATTACGTTCTACACAGACTACACAATCTTACAGCCTAAGCCTACAATTCAGGCATTGACTGCATTCCTGGAGATGTGTCAAAGAAAATAAACTTTGTTTTAAGTGGTAGTTATTATGTTTGATCTAGCGCAAATTTTGGAACTCTTTGTAGGTGTCTGATGGGCCTAATAATGTAGCAGGCAGTGTGTCTTATGTGATTCATTTTTTGCCCAGTGTGATGTAAGAATTACCCTGGAATACACTAGTTCTATGTGGTATGGTCTATCTGTCTCATTTCAGGACCCCCAAAGGTCAAAGACAACAGGGGGTCCTAGGCAGATGTCCAGTTCATTATATGCCTCATCATTCTCTGCATGAATTATGATCCCACACTTCACAATGAGTACTGTGTTCGTTTGACCAAACTGCTCATGGCTGTTGATCAATTCTAAACACAACACTTTATACAAATATAGTGTGCCCACACATTATATGCTTTGTCAATTTATAATCATTTCATTTTATATTTTAAAAGACATTTACGTCAAATGATATGCAATTGATTGAACATTATATTTTGCGAGCTCACTGCTGTTGAAAGTAGGCCCTAAGCTAGATCTAGCTAAGCCAACTAGTACACTGTTTACTGTTGAATGACCAAATAGAAATATTTTGTTTATGTTAGCCTATGGTTATTTCATTTTGAAAATAAACTCACTTTCCCTGAAAATATGGTACGGTATGTCACTTTCATGAGAAACTTTAATGATAAGATTTATTCAGAAAAAGGGCCCTAAGTAGATCATGTTAGATTATGATTATCAAATAAGCTTTCTGTCTTAGTTTCAGTATAACTATTTTGTAGGCTGTTGTGGATGTTGCTCAGCTTTACGACCAAGATATAAAGTTCTGGTTGATAATATATTCCCTGAAGATCCTCAGGTAAGAGTTATCAGAAAGAGTTGTAATAAGAAATTATGTACTAATTTTTCCAAATTGATCATATATTACTCCATGTAAGATTTTTATGAATACAATGTCATTATAATTACAGGATGGTTTGGTGCGTATTAATATGGACAAATTGACATTTTATGCTCTGTCTTCACCAGAAAAACTTGATAGAATTGGTCAGTATTTAGAACAGAGATTAAATAAAGAAGTTAAATGGCGCAGAGTAGAGTAAGTAATTATTTTCACTTGAATATTTAAGTCATTTACAAGGAATACTATAGTTAATAGATCCAGTATCTAAGAGAACTAAGATGCGCTCTATGCTATCAGGAAGTTTCCTTGTTTCAAGATGAATTTCAATTGAAAGATAAGTTTTCAATTGAATATTGTTATTATTGATTTTGAATTGTACTGTTGTTGTATATTATATTAGACTACAATCTGTATTACAGGTTTGTTTTTATTGCTATGGATGCTTTAGATCAATTACTTGTTTCTTGTCATGCACAGTCATTGAATTTATTTGTTGAAAGTTTTTTGAAAATGGTTCAAAAACTTTTGGAATGTGAAGAACCAGAATTGCAGATATTAGCAACAGCTTCAGTAAGTTATATCTTTATTTTACTTAATCATTGAATCAATTGAAAACTCCAGATGATTTATATATTGCACCCCAAAATTAACCAAAAAAAAATCTAATTAATTTATACACTCCAAATGACTGAAGAATTTGCCAGAGATGTAAATAAATTTTTTTTTTTGTTGCAGTTTGTAAAATTTGCCAATATCGAAGAAGATACACCATCCTATCATAGACGCTATGATTTTTTTGTGTCCAAATTTAGTTCCATGAGTCACAGTGGATTACAGAAACAAGAGACAAGGACAAAGTAAGTATTTTCTATGATTTTCCTCTGCCATGAGTTTAATTCGTCTTTAGTAACCTCACAACAGATATATCAATGCATGCTTTCTGCTCATTCCACTGAAAAAAAAACCAGAAGTTTATAAATATGAATAATGTGTTAATAATGGAGTTGATTTGAAAAGTTGATTTGTCTTTCATCTTCAGTCATTAGTGCATCCATTTTCATATTCTATACCCTTAGATCAGAATTATATTATCTTCCGAAAGCAAACACATTGTTAGTACCTTAATGTTTATTTTTGAAGACAGCCTATGTATTGCAACAATTCATTTTTTGTCATAATTATTTAATTTTAAGAAAATTAGTCACCAAGTCACTGCAGACAACTATGATTTGTTATGGATCTGCATTTTAGAAACTTAAATAATTTCAGTAAATAAATGGGTTTTAAGATTGAGACAAAGAACTTGTCCATCTTAATGAAATTATTTAGATGTTAACATTTTCTATAATATTCAATAAATGTATAGTTTGATTGCCTTTGGGCATGTTGCTGTGCAGAGTAGAATCACGATTATGATGACCTTGACTTTTGACTGACAAATACATGACCTTGACGTTAAAATATTTCACTGTTTATTGATTTCTTAACAGTTTATGTTCAAAGACATGCAGCTTACTACAATATTAGCTTCAACAAGGATAAAAGGGATGTGGTCGTCTAATTATTATCTACCGTCAGCCAGTAGGGGAATAACAAAAATAATATTTTCTTTCTGAGCTGATATTATGTGATTCAGACTTGTGTCTCTTAGCAGAATGAAAATCCAACATTTGTGGTTCTTGTTTGCTCAAAAAAAAAAAAGCAAAATTAACAATTTGTAATAAAAGTATATATGGAAAAACTGTATATTAGTTATTGTTTTGACCTTTGACATTTTTCTTTTGATCAAGAGAAGACATCTAGAGTTGTACTCTATTATCTATCATCAGTACCAGACAATTTGAAATTGATACCAATAAGTTTATATAATCTACCTAATCATACTTTGATATTCACCTATTAGTTTTTAATGATATTTTTTTCCATTTTTATACTTAATCCCTTTATATATATGAGTTTCAGAAAATTGAAATACTTAAAATTGCTGCCAACATGACATTTTTTGCAAATTTAATTTAACTAGTTTTTATACACCCACAAATATATTTTGGGCTTACAGTTGATTCACTGTACAGGCTACAAACAATGATTGATGTGCAATCAAAGCTACTGGTGTGCATATGTCATCTTGCTTCGCATGGCTATATTTATCTTGTACTGAAGAATGGTTGATTGTGTGGCTCAAAACTTCAGAATACATCAATAGAAGCTGAAATCCAAATCAATAGCAAATCTGACTGAAATGCAAATCTGGCTGTTCTGTTAAAGATGTTTTTGCAGATTTACTATACTTTTCTTTGATTCTTGTCCATCCGAAAATTTTACTCCATTTTGCCGCGCTATGAATTTATAATATTGATTTCTTGAATATCAAATTTTATCATGTATTAAATGTCAAAGTTACCCTATATTTATGAAATAATTGGTCAGACTGGTAATTAAGTTGCTAAGGCGTCATATCACAACACACCAAAAATAAAATTAATTTCCATGTAAAGATTTGTGTTTTGATTCAACTTCAAAAGGAACATCTGTTACATTATTGATAATGGATTATTGAAGGTTATTTTCATCAAAACATGCTTTTTGATATTGATTGATCACACAGCTTTTATTTTTAAGATCAAAACACAAAAAATAACCTTGAGTTACCTTTATTTTAGTTTATTTCTGGCATGAAAGTTATTTTCCCTCCAAAAACTTAGTGACTTTTAACTTTAGAAAGAGGTGTATTCATATTGCAATTGATAAGATATATCAGATTTCTTCTAGAAATATTTACTGCAACAAATTTTGAATTCTTAATTAAAACAATGTAGCCAAAATTCCAAAGGGAATTGCCTGACATAGTTAATATATTATGAAAGAAAGAAATAAAGAAGTATGTTGTACAAGGATAACAACCTAAGTTCACAAAGAGTTTTTTCTACCAGTTGGTTCTTGGCCAAAATTCTTGGCATTGATTTACAGCTGGGTTGACTGGAATTCTGCTCTTTGAACTTTCACTCACAGAACAAGAACTAACAACTTCCATTTTTTCCCAGATGTAACCAAGCAATTGACAGTGCAACAGAACCTCCAAAATATGACTTGACAATAATGGGCTTCATTAGGCAAAAAAGAAATTACCCAACTCTCTGCTTACAACCCAGGAGATCTGTTATTGGATATTTTGGAATTGAAATTCCTGATTTTTGTTTGTAATATCAATAAAGACTGAATGAAAATAAAGAAAAGTTTGGTGAGATTGGATACAACCAGTATTTACTGTCATTAGTTAGCTATTAACAATCTAATTGATTATAAAACAACCAGGAACCTAGATATCAGAAATCAATTGAAAAACCATTAAAGATTTCGGCATATAAACTGAATAGAATTTCCTAACATGTCTGCTATAGTGTTTCTTTATAGAAGACAATTGATAATTAAGTATATCCTAGTTACAGTAGCAACCCTTGTAGATAGATTAATATTTAATACTTAGTGTACCATTTTAAGTTGCACTTTTATTAGTTTCTTTTAAAGTTGAACTCAATGTTTCTTTTTCTACCAGTTTGATAAAACTTCAATTTTCATGTTGAAATTTAGTATTTTTATGACCTAATGAATTGAAATCTATTCTGCCCTAGTCCTTTCATATCAATACATTACTGAATACAAGACAAAATGTTTTCTGAAGCTGTTCTTTAACAGCAAACAACAACGACAGGACAGGATTTGTAATTTTTGTGAAAGTGAAAATTTGAGTTAAAGTCTCAAGAATCTTGGTGCTTGGAAGCTTTTGATTGCTCTGAAGACATTGGCCTGAAGATTTAAAGTTTTGTGCATAAGGTGCATCTTTCATGAGTAATATGACAAGCTTGTGTGTTCATAAAATACTTTAGAATTGTTACTGATGAGAAACACTCCAATGAAAAAGTAGATAGAATTTTACTTCGTGTTTTGTTTTTTCATGCCATGACCTTTTTGTCCTGTTCATAATAGAAATATTACAGTGTGAATGACTTCCAAATCCAATTTGTTATAAGAACTGAAATTGAATCTACAAGTGAGCCTTAAAAAGGACAATCTTTAATGTATGATATTTATATGCATGTTTCAAAATCATGCTTCCAGACAAAATGAGCATTAAAAACTCTTGGAATTATTCCTCCCTCACATTTTGATTGATCAATTGATCAGTAATGATAAGATATCTATAAACAACTTCTTATTGCGTCTAGTAGATCAAGACTATAGAATAAAATCAATAACTCAACTAATGTGTCATTCAGCACGCTTACAAGACCTGTATCCTTCCTTTCTCATAGATATACCATTCTATAAACCAGTATCCGGTGTTTCTTCTACTCTTGCTCCAAATGTGATAAATTGGAACTAAAAAATGCTCAAAATGCTGAGCAATTTGCAGTGTCATTTGACTTTGGATATTTGATGTGGTTGTTTTTACCTTAAACTTGAAGAATGAAGTGTTAAAGGTTCAGATTTACTGATAAATTGAAGTATATTTTAGTGGTTAAATATTGTACTCGGCCATAAAAACTTAAAGTCTCTTTTATGTCCAGAAAAATTATGCATGTTCTTATTGAAAATTGAATATTATTGGAAATGCCTTTCAGCTGAATAGGCCTATATATATATCTTGTTGAAATCCTGATGTGAAGGGAATTCTTATGCCAGAATTCTTAAAAATATCAACATCTTTGATCTTTGTTTTATATCAAATTCTGGCAATCTGTATAACTGAAAGCTTTTGTTTTTAAGAAACAAACTTTAACTGTATTAAGAAATATTCAAGAAGAGGTCTCCGTTGAATGGTGCTTGATTTTGATGTTTTTCCTTCAGTTATTTTGAAGGATTCTTTGACAGAAAAACACAATAACATCTTCAGATCTTAGATGATTTTATTGTCCCATGATCAATATTATGTTCTTCCCCTTAGTTTATAGAAATTACTTTACATAGAACCATTAACTTATTGTACAATCTTACAATGCTTGTTAGAATGATACTGATGTTTGATTTAAGCTGTCGTATGTATTAGTAATGTGTAATATTTCAAGTAAAATGTTTATATCAATATCTTCTCCGTATTTGATTAGAATTATAGATTTTATTTTGCTTGACCTTGACGTATCATGAATTAATGGATTTAGTCTGGTACTGGTATTTACTATTATACCAGATATTTGTTAAGTACATGATGTACTGGATAATAATCTGATGATTACTATGTTGTAGTGGATATAGTCTGGTGATGAATATGATGTACTGGATTTAGTCTAGTGATGACTATGGTATACTGGATATAGTCTAGTGATGACTATGGTGTACTGGATATAGTCTGATGATGACTATGTTATTGGGTATAGTCTAGTGATTACTATGATATACCTGGGTACTGGTGGTGACTATGATGTATTGGATATAATCTGGTGATGACTATGATGTACTAGATATAGTCTGGTGATGACTATGATTACTTGATATAGTCTAGTGATTACTATGTTGTAGTGGATATAGTCTGGTGATGACTATGATGTATTGGATATAGTCCGGTTATGACTATGATGACTAGATATAGTCTGGTGATTACTATGATGTACTAGATGTAGTCTGGTGAAGACTATGGTGTACTTTGTACAATTGTACAATAGATATAGTCTGGTGATGACTATGATGTACTAGATATAGTCTGTGATGACTATGATGTATTGGATATAGCCTAGTAGTGCTGGGAATAATTATCTAAAAATCGATTATTGCTCTTATGTCATGTACCGATAACGATAATCGATGGTTCATTTCAAAATCGATTATCGCAAAAAATAACATAACCTCCGGTAATTCTGTAAAATTACTCCGGGGACCATAATAAAAACACGCTTTCGGCAGTCACGTACCGCAAAATAAACTAAGCTAAAGTCTTTATTCTCGTATGTTTTTCCATTTCTTTGATTGTATATGATCATAACAATCATTAATAAAAAAATTTCATTCACAATAAATTAGGACAAACATATGTTATTATACGTATATATAATTAACTGAATACAGGTACCGATATTTGGGCATGACTTTCCCTTTATTTTTCACACGATTGTAGTTGTCTCCCTTTTTTTATCAAGTCTAATTATGTAACGACAATGCTGATTGGATAATCAATGCTTCTTATAAATAGAAGGCTAATCACAATTCGTCAAGAACGTGTGATCAAGTCAATTATTTTTACCATTCAACGGTACATTCATGCGGATGGCGATATTGACGAAAACTAATCTTCCAAACGTCTTTAAAACAAAAAGATTGGTCACATAGCGAAGAACATGATAATAACACAATACACATACTAGCATCTAACACTAGCATTACATAGAAGTTAGTGGTAGGCAGCATAAATAGGACTTGAAATGAGTCGACTACTTGACCTAAAATTTGAGTATCAACATTACGATTTTTATCGATTATCAGAAATGCCTAACGATATATTGCCGATAATCGATGATAATTTTAAACTTGATTCCCAGCACTATAGCCTAGTGATGACTTTGATGTACTAGATATAGGCTAGTAATGAATATGATAGCAGGAATGTTCTTTCATTATTAGAAGCAAATAATTCACAATACACTTGTTGATTTTAACCTTAACAAGATTGATTAAGACTGCAGTGAAAAGCTGTGTAATTGATTAGTTTGCAGATTTTATGTAAATTTTTTTTAAAGCGTTTGCCATGTATTTTTTTAATTGGACAGACTTTGAGATGCTAGTTTCTTATCAAGTTTATAGGGACACATGCACGATTTTTGGAGTTTGATTATAGCCTTGAATATATGCAGAAGTACTAGAAATGTATGAAATTGCATAATTCTTTTAAACAAACTTCTAACTAGGAAATATACTCACTATTTCTACTTATGTCTTTTCTATATATCACAGAGTATCTTAAAAGGACGAGTCATCATTTTAACATTTAAATGCAGATAATTCTGTACAAATTTCGACAGTGAGCTGTGAGCACAATTACTGATAGGCTAAGCTAAAATATTCATGTTCCTGAGACTAAAGTATGATTGGTCAAAATAGATTTCCCTTTAAACATTTTGATTCATTTCTACTGATTTATAATTGAATTTATTTGTTAGACAAAATTTCCAGGTCCTATTGTTATCATTGAATCAAGAACAGATGAAAGTTTTTAACACTAAGATGAATTGGGTAGATTATATTTGCTGCAGACATATTGATAAGCAGTTGAAAAGATAATAGAGTCAGTGACTCAGAAGTAAAATCAGACTGATGTCCTTGAATCAATTTGAAAATACTTTGGATATTGCATTTTGGTTAAGAGCATTGCATTTAAATTACAGGGTTTTTCATCAGAGTTTCTTAGGTTTTTTACTCATTACTTACTGGTCAGATAAATCAATAGTTTAGTTTACACTCCAATTAGTGAAAGTTTGAAGAGCAAATTGACAGCTGAAACATTTAATGAGGTGATTTGTAATAATTGAAGAAATATTGAATAGTACCAGGGTTATGATTCAAAATAATGAAATGTTAAAGTTAAAAGGTTACATTTATTGAATATCTTGTTTGCCTTTGTTAGCTTCTTGATTTTTTCTAGTGTCAAACTTATTGAGTTGAGGTTTCACATTTGAAGTCTCCTGTCATGTCTAATTCCATCTTGTCTTTATATTATGTGACAAGTACTAACAGGAACTATTCTCCTCTTCCAGGGATAGTGTTTATTTCATGTTGTTATGTTCCTGAAGTATTTTTTTGTCTCCTGGGAAATTAATCAAATGTATCTGTGGAATTCATTAGGAAATAATTTGTATTTTATCTAATAATCTATATGGAAATTTGAACATCAAGATCTATTAGCTTAGATTAAAGGTTTAATTGCAATGCTTTTTGATCTCATAGAGCCTTTTGAAGAAGAAGAAATTCAATTCTCTTATCTTTGATATTGTATGTATGGGTTGGGAAGGATGGATGGAATGGATTGGCATGAGGTTGGGATGGATGGATGGAATGGATTGGGATGAGGTTGGGATGGATGGATGGATGGAATGGGATGGGATGGGATGGGATGAGGCTGGATTGGATGGATGGAATGGATGGGATGAGGTTGGGATGGATGGATGGGATGAGGTTGGGATGGATGGAATGTTATGAGATGAGGTTGGGAGGGAGGTATGGATGGATGGAATTGGATGGGATGAGGTTGGAATGGATGGATGGGATGGGATGAGGTTGGAATGGAATGGAATGGGATGGGTTGGGATGGATGGAATGGGATGGGATGAGGTTGGGATGGATGGAAGGATGGATTGAATTGGATGGGTTGGGATGGATGGATTGATGGGGTTTGGATGGGATGGGATGTGATGGGATGGGATGGGATGGGATGGAATTGAAGGTTTTGGACCAGGGGTCAGAAATGTGTTTTATCTAACTTAATTCATTATCAGTTAAGTGAAATATGACTGAATATTACTGCCATTTATCGTTGATGCTATAGAAATATCTTTTACAAATAGAACATTGTTGACAAAGTTAATGTCATTGGCTTTATGTCATGCAGATTATGTCAAACTATACATATTAGTTTTATAATGGAAACTGAAAATTGAAATATTAACACAGCACAAATTGTAGACATATACCAATTCATACCTCTCTCTTATTGTAAATGTTGTATAGTTCAAATTTTCTTTGACTTTGATTGAACGTATATGTAATTTCTGAGACTTTATTCGTATGCAGTTGAAGTTTCATAAAGAAGATTCAACAATGGATGTCAAGTGTTAGGAGTGGTAAAGAATATATCCAGCATTGATTTTGAAGATTTTATATCTGTCTGTTGGAATTTATGTGTCTCTGACTAGATGTATTACTTATTCGGTTATTGAACTAAGAAACATTACTGGCCAATATTAGTTGCAATACACAGTTTACAATAGGAAGCTAGTGTTTAAAATTGTATTATGATTTAAAATTACAGTTATTTATGTCTACATCTGGTAATCTGATACTACAAGATAAGCCAAATAGTTACAGACTGTTTATAGCAGTGCTTTTTAACAGTTGAGGAATTGGAAGTCCATAGTATATGGAGTATGAATTTTTATCCGTTCATTGTTAATTTTTGAATACATTTTTCGAGTGAAATACATTTTAAAATGACAGAGATGAATAGATTTGGAAAATCTCACTGGGATTGAGAAGCACTGGTTAATAGTGGGCTATTGCACAGTTTTATCCAATATTTTAAATCATTTGAATTTACTTGTAATACATATTCGTAAGGAAGAGTTGGAAATAAAGCTAATGGTGAACAATTTTATGGAAATAAGACTTTTTTTGAAAAAGTTAAATAAGAAAGTTTTGCTGGTTGTAGGAGTCCATGAACTTCCTGAACTGTAAAAACAATCATTTCACAAAACATGGATACAAAGAGTAAAAAGTGATAATGTTTTTCACCCGGATTATTTGTGTATTTTGTTGTCGTGGTAGGATACGACGAGCTGGTCTACATGGATTACAAGGTCTGGTACGCAAGACTGTTAGTGATGATTTACAAGTTAATATATGGGATCCAGTTCATATGGATAAAATAGTACCATCATTACTGTTTAACATGCATGATCCAAGGTAGGTTCATTTCATATTTTTAATAAACTGATAAAAGATCATGATTTTGAGCAGTTGCAATTACTCATGTCCTCAAGTTGAATTTGGTATGTGAGTATAATACAGCATGTGCTCATCTGATTTTGATGAGACTTGGTGAACATATGATTTGTTTATATTCCTTAATATCTTCTCTTAGATGTTTGGTTGACTAATTTGATCTTGGCAATGATAATTTTGAGTAAAAGCATCAGGTTTATATGGAGTGCAATTTTTTTACATTACTTAAATTTAATTTATATTTTATTCAAGTCTATGTTTTTTATCATATTATTTGAAAACTTGGACCAGATCATGTTGACCTAGAACTGGAGTCCCTCTAGCACCATTTTGTTTATTAACTATGATATATAAAAACTAACACAGTCTCATTATGGCTGGGTTTATCAATAGTTATATTTCCCTTAAGGCAAATTTTATGTGGGTAAATGTCAATCTATCACAGTGGGGTGAAGAATTTGTTGAGATCTTGTAAGGAAATAACTTAGATAATTACTGCTTTGAGACAAATACAACTATTAAACTTTCCATTGTTACTCAATGCATATAAATATTTAAACAATAGATAGAAATCTTTTTCACAAAACAAAAAAAATGTTATACATGTAATATGCTAAGATATCTCAGGCAATTAGCACTGTTGACAATGGTACATGATAGGCAATCCATGATCTGGAATAAATTTTTTCTTAGATTTATTTTGGCAAAATTTGACTCAGTGGTCTCAGAAGTTGTCATGATTTATGTTAACTAATTAAAAATAGTCTGTTAGTCAATTTTAAACCAGAAGTTCTTACATGTTATCATTGTGAAACAGAGAATTTGATTAGTCGAATATTTTAGAGACTAGAGCACATTTGGCAGGACAAATTTCTTCAGATCAAATACCAAGTGTAGCATAAAATAAAACATCATTTCAATAAAATTAAAACTTATTTTATGACTTTAGTTTTCTATCAACTGATGCTGAAAGTCCAAGAGATGAAGAACATCCTTCATTTATAGCAGAAACAGTTTTTCGAGATTTGATCTGCCGAGCATCTTATGGTTGTATAAAATCTGTTGTAAAACCAGTCCTTATGTAAGTATTCATCAAATTGAATTTTTACATTCTTTTAAAGAATTAAGTCTGTTTTGGGGCTTTTAAGAGGCAAAAAACATTCAGATGAATTCACAAAACAACTTGCAAACATTTAATAAGCAAATTTCCCAAATTAGAATAGATTTTGATGGGTGTGTTTTTTGTTAAATGGGGCCAGAGCTTGTGGGCAGCAAAATATTCTCAATTATATCACTCATTATTATTGACTACTTCAGTGAAGTGATTGTTTGCAATATTCAGGTAATATATGTATTTTGATTTTCTGGTCTTGATAAGGCTTTTTACAATCTATGTGACTATATTGTATCTAGAACTAGTTGTTAGATGTTATATTTTTACTTGTAGACATATGGATAACCACTCATTATGGGTGCCTAATCAATTTGCTGTGAAATGTTTTAAAATCATCATGTATTCTGTACAGGTTAGTAACATCTATCTATATATAATGTATACATTTATTTACAATGTAATTTTTCCTCTGGGAACGAAGTTTTTGAAAATGATGTAAATTAGAGTCATAGACCAAGATAATGGACCTGAAACAATTCAGTTCAGTAACACCCTTATATCGTGGGTGACCGCTTGAAAACTCGTATATGCCATATTTGGTCATTTTGACGTTTTGGTACTGTTCGAAAGCTCGTAAATGCGCAGATCTTATGATCAAAACCTTGTATTCTTAGCTTGATTGTAAAAAAACTCAAAAAGCACCAATTAAATAACACGTATATAAACATATATTATTATACGAGGTTCAATGTTCCTTTTCTGCGGATGAAAATGAAAAACCTCGTATACTGTATTATTATACGAGTTTTTTGTTCAATATGTCGAAGATATCAAATTGTTATACAAGGTTTATATTTTCAAAGAATGGAAACCACGTATATAGCTGTAAAAAAAATAATAAATTTTTTTTTAACAAAATACGCGTACAAATAGTTTTTTGCTTTTTTCTCAAAAAGTAATTAAGCGTCATATATCCTTATACGAGGTTTCAAGCGGTCACCCACGACAAAAATGACAATAAATATATCCTTTCAGAAATGCAAATTATTGACTTCATAACAGTGGCTTCTCAACTCTTTGATTTTTACTTTGTAAACCAATTTGAATGATCATATGATTATTAATATTTTGATTCTATTCTTGCGTGTAAAATTAAATTTTCAACTTTTTTCTGTGTTAAATATGCTGAGCTGAGTTCAAATCAGACATTGATATACTATATGCAATGCTGTCTTGGCAAAATTCCTCTCAGAATTACATGTAGAAAGAAGGGTGTAAAACTTCATTTTATTTATTACTGATATTGCAAATGTTGTTTGTTGTAGGCACAGTATGGTTATATTGTGATTTCATCATTATTAGATCATTTAGATGAACATGTTAAAACTGATCCTAGTATTAAGAGTAGTATAGTTAGTGTATTATTTCAAGCAGTACTTATATCAGCTGGTGGTTCAATAGGTATGTTACTATTTGTAACAAAGAATGTTTAGCTTTGCTCTAGGAGCTGAATTATCTCATCTACTGGAGACACTTGCTTGATAACTTGGAAGTCTGAGATTTCCATTTCCAATTTATCATTAAACAACTTTGTTCGATTGAAATGTTTTATTACTAGATTTCTATCTAATAAGAGCCAATACGGATGGGTTTTTTTGATGCCACTTTGAAACAAACTCCAATTATTATAGTTGATACCATGTTTATAATTTTGTGTTATAGTTATATGTTAGTCTTAAAACCTGGTTAAAACTGGGTGAACATATTTTGAGCTATTGAGATGAAGTAAATTAATCAAGAATATCTCCTTCTATTGATATTTAAAGAAAAAAAAAATGAAATCTGTGTCAGGAAGGAGACATAGAAAGGGAGAGGGTAAGGGAGAATTTTATATGGAAAATGTGGATGTCATGTGCAGCTGGCATATAATCCCCCTTTGACCATAAACCGATTCATAATGATATATTAAAGACTTTCTCTATTTTTTATTTATATTTTAGGACCATCAGTATTAGAAGTATTTAATATTTTATTAAGACATCTGCGAATATCAGTTGATAATAAAAGTCAAAATACAGAATTACGAAATAAAGAAATAGAATTTGAAGACGAAGTCATTAATACAATAGGTATGTAGGTTATAACTCTCAGAGTATCAAAAGTAGACTGTATTGCAGGAATTTCATTATATATAAAACATCACTAGATGAATCTATACATTGTCATATGACATGTCACGATATATGTATTGTGTATTTATTAACAATATATTACTAGTAATATGATCCCGTATTGTCTGAAAATTTACAGCAGTAAAAATAATATTTATCTGCATTTTATCCTATAGTCTGTATTACAGCCCTTATATTGTAATACATATCATATTGTGACAAAACCCAGCACTACTAGAAAACTATCAGAAATAATTTGATTGAATGAACTTGTATACCTTCTAGGTCAGTTTGCTAATAATCTACCAGATTACCAGAAAATTGAGATTATGATGTTTGTTATGGGTAAATTCCCTCAATTTTCATCAGATGAAGATGTTGGGTAAGTTTCATTTCACTCTGTCTTCACCATTGGGTTAGATCTGGAATGATCCAGGAAGATGTAAATTGATATTTGCTTTTATTTTAGACATGTTTGTTCCTCTGTTATACATAAATGTATGGTAAATATCCAAGCAATGGAATAGATATAGTATATATCTCTAAGCATATTTATATTAACATGTTAATGTCCTCATCTCTTTTCCAAGGAGTGAACAATTCTGTGTTGTATTTGTATTTGCACTTCAATGTTTAATTTGTTTTTTGTATATTTTTATAGAGGTGCAATGGATACTCAGTTACAAATGAATCTGCTCAGAACATTATTGAAGGTAAGACATCTGTCTTGAAATCACTCACAAGTCTCGATTTGCATGACATCGCTACCATTAAACACATTTCTAGTTCTACTAGTTAAACAGAAATCTGAAACCGGTTTGGATTTGACATCACTACCATTAAACACATTTCTAGTTCTACTAGTTTAACAGAAATCTGAAACCGGTTTGGTTCATTAGATTCGTTTTGTAAACTACTGGCATAGATATGAAAAGCAAGATAACTGTACTCCCAGATATTCCTTCTGAGTTTTTTCTTCTTTGAGACTTTATTTGATGAAAATGTGATCACCACTTTAAAAATAACCACAGTAACATATCTCTGCAATCAACCATCATTATAACTTATGAGTTCTTACTGAAAGATGCCATTTTGAATTTGACCAATATACTCCACGAGGCAGACTCAATCAAAAAAGTTAATTTTGAAATTGCTGTCACCATAGACTTGATTTATCTGTATTTACTTTCCAGGTAGCAACGAAATATGAGACTGTAACGTTTTCTAATGCTTTCCCTCCAGAATTCTTACATCCTTTATTACGTATGTCATTATTGGATGATTCCCTTATGCGTGTCACAGTCCAAAATATTTTACAAACATTAATAGATCGTCATGACAACACTCAAAAACTGAAACCAGTCAGGTAAGTTCTATGTAGTACATTTTTTTTAAATATGTTATATAAACTAGTGTCCAAAAGAAACGATACCAACTTATTTTCAAAATTGTTTTTTACTAAGTGAAATGTCTAATATGAAAACATGCCAATTCGTATTGCACATCCCAAACACAGCATAGTCGATAAAAATACCGGGAACACGTGATCACTTCCAGGAAAAAACGTAAATTTCGTGAAAGTGACATTTCCCTCTCTAGCATGTTCTGCACGTGCATAAAAACTGTATAAAACGGCTGATCAGACACGTTGATATCACAGCAACAAAAAGAACACAAGATATGCCACGTTTGACAGCCATCGAGAGAGAGAGAGCCGTTGGAATGGTCCAACAAGGAGCGACACACGTCGATGTTTGCCAGAAGATTGGGCTGCGCACGCATCACTATCACCAGGTTGATGCAGCGGTTACGTCAGACAGGTCAGACGTCAGACAGGCCCAGTAGTGGAAGACCACGAGTAACAACGCCCCGTGAAGATCGTTACATCCGGGTATTACACCTGAGGAACCGCACCGTGACAGCGACGTCCACGGCCACGTCAACAGACCGTCTACAGGAGACTACGGCAGTATGGTATCCGGCCACGTCATCCCTACCGCGGACTGCTCCTTACGCCTGGACACCAGAACAACAGACTGATCTGGTCCAGGCGAGTTCGACGTTGGCAACGGCGGGACTGGGCACATGTTATGTTCTCTGATGAGAGCAGATTCATCATCTTCAAAAACGATGGACGGCAGCTTGTATACCGAGGATTTGGTGAACGTTTGGCGCCTAACTGTATCCAACAGGTCCGGCCGTTTGGAGGTGGAGGGTTAATGGTTTGGGGTGGCATATGTGGTGACGTCAAAACGAGGCTTGTCGTAATTCGTGGAAACCTGATGACATCCTACGGCCTGTTGTGGTGCCCTTTATTCAGCAACAGCCTCGTGGACTCCTTTTCCAACATGACAATGCAAGGCCACACACAGCAAGATTGACACAGAACTTCCTTGCCAACGCCAACGTACAGGTTTTGCCATGTTCACCGGACATGAATCCCATCGAGCACTTATGGGACCACCTCGATCGGCAAATCCGACGTCACCGTGTGCCTCCAGTCAACGTCCAGGACTTGGAACGATGTCTCCTCGAGGAATGGCAACGCATCACTTCCAACGTCATCAGACGTTTGACGGCATCAGTCCGTAGGTGTGTTCTGGCATGTAATGATGCTCACGGTGGACATACCCGCAACTGACTTGACTTTGTGACGTGTGGTGTGACATTTCCTGTTGTTTCTGTGATCAATGCTCTAACGAAATGTTCTTTTTTCGACCCCACCCATCTTTAAAGGCTTGTCATGTTGGTTGTACGGATTTTATTGAAATGAAATTTTTGTACAGATGTTGTGAAAGGATTTCTCAAAAGCATAACACCAATCTTAAGCTTCTGCATTGTTTAGTTTTTCTTTTATGTCGTTGCAAACAGGTGGTATCGTTTCTTTTGGACACTAGTTTATGTGTGAAGAAAACACAGATGATTTTTTGTTCAAAAAGTTTCCAGTAGTTTGCAGTAGTTCAATGGCCTTGAGTTGGTATAGGTTATAGAAAACTAAGTAAGGAAGGCTATTCACCTTTGTTCTTGTCTCTCTGGTGGTCCTCAATCAAATCTCATCATTGATATTTTTTTTCTGTTTACTGTTGGGATAACTGTCAGGCAAATAATGTCAAAATTCTTCTACAATCATTTAAATTTATTTTAGGATCCATGTATTTTCAAAACGATCTTACCGCTAAGGGTATCCTAGAAACAGGGTTAGAATTTAGATCTTGGACAATTAAGGGTTAATATCATTTCGAGAAAACGCTGCCTAGTTTCGACCAAACACTAAATTATGAACAATTATGGGTTTTATCTGAGCTCAAGATTATGTTGTTTGTGTATGGCTGATATATATAATAAATGTATAATGAATGAACTTTTATTCATAGAATACCTGGAGATATTTCCAAACTAAATTTAACCATAGAGAAAAGTTCAAGACAAGATATATTATTCATGAAAAAGGTAACTATTATTTAAACTATATTATCTCTTACTTTAATGTTTATATTGTTTAACGATCCCACCAGCTTGTAAAGAGAGTTTAAGGATATTGCCTTTAACTAGATTTTTGGCCAAACCTTGTGGAATTATTTAATCCCATAAAATCTTGGTGTACTGGAATACTAAAGATAAACGACTTATTCAATTTCACTAGATAATAAAATGTCAACCAAAATTACCAACATTTTCCCCGTTTGTTTGAAGCTGTCAGGATAACAACACTGTAACAGATTAAACTACAGTCTGTGCTTCCAATGTATTGATAATTAAACTTATTGAAATTCAAGATTAGTTTTAAGATGTATTTATAAGTTAAAGTATATTTGATATTTTTTAGAGTGGTATGCAGTTTTATTGGCATATCTATGAGAATATGCAGATGACATCTAATCGTGTAGATAATTTTGAAGCATTGTATTGTACTATGTGTTTATTAGCTGTAGAGTTAGGTGATGGTGAAATATTAATAGAATTATTCAGATTAGCTTTAGATATTCAGGTTTGTATTGTGTTTGATTGATATAAAGAGAGTTTAACTTCACAATATTCTACATTTCTAAATTTATACATTGACAAAGTAATAAGTGCAATTAGGGGTATATCACAGAAGTGGTCATTATCAAACAGTTCCAAATGATAATGTATATTTCCACAAAAGGAGTCTCATGGAATTAAAACTTGATTATGTATAAATGAATTAAAAGATTTCTGTTTCAAAATCTTGCTTTCATTTAAAATTACATGAAAAACTTTTTTTTTGGTTTTATTTTGAATTAATTTGAAACTAATGAACGTTGTGTATGATGACATTTGGCATTCTTGGAGACATTGATTAAGAAGTAAATTGCTTTGAGTGATTTCAGGCTACAACCTCTTTACAGATTCACCATTTTCAAGTATATTGAAATTTTTCAATGTGAAATAATCTTTTACTTTGGCAAAATCAATAGATACTTACTACTTTTCTATATAATTGGTGTATTGAGCACTGTTTTAACAGTAAATATTTTGTTATTTCTTTCTATTTCAGCAAATGATAGTCACAAGTGCGGGATTACCATTAACACATAAATGTGCTATTCATGGTTTAATAGCTGCCTATATGAATTTATTAACACATTTAACCGATATCCCTTCATTAGCTGAGTATATCAGTCAGGTTAGTCAGTATTTATTATATACTATGATAAACTAACCACATTTGACTGATATCCCTTTATTAGCTGAGTATATCAGTCAGGTTAGTCAGTATTTATTATATACTATGATAAACTAACCACATTTGACTGATATCCCTTTATTAGCAGAGTATATCAGTCAGGTTAGTCAGTATTTAGTATATACCATGATAAACTAACCACATTTGACTGATATCCCTTCATTAGCTGAGTATATCAGTCAGGTTAGTCATTATTTATTATATACTATGATAAACTAGCCACATTTGACTGATATCCCTTTATTATCAGAGTATATCAGTCAGGTTAGTCAGTATTTATTATATACTATGATAAACTAACCACATTTGACTGATATCCCTTCATTAGCTGAGTATATCAGTCAGGTTAGTCATTATTTATTATATACTATGATAAACTAGCCACATTTGACTGATATCCCTTTATTAGCTGAGTATATCAGTCAGGCTAGTCAGTATTTAGTATATACCATGATAAACTAACCACATTTAACTGATATCCCTTCTTAGCAGAGTATATCAGTCAGGTTAGTAAGTATTTAGTATACCATGATAAACTATCAACATTTGACTGATATCCCTTTATTAGCAGAGTATATCAGTCAGGTTAGTCAGTATTTAGTATATACCATTATATACTAACCATATTTGACTGATATCCCTTTATTAGCAGAGTATATCAGTCATTATTTATTATATACTATGATAAACTATCCACACTTAACCGATATCCCTTTATTAGCAGAGTATATCAGTCAGGTTAGTCAGTATTTAGTATATACCATTATAAACTAACCATATTTGACTGATATCCCTTTATTAGCAGAGTATATCAGTCATTATTTATTATATACTATGATAAACTATCCACACTTAACCGATATCCCTTTATTAGCAGAGTATATCAGTCAGTTTAGTCAGTATTTAGTATACCATGATAAACTAACCACATTTGACTGATATCCCTTCATTAGCTGAGTATATCAGTCAGGTTAGTCAGTATTTAGTATATACCATGATAAACTAGCCACATTTGACTGATATCCCTTTATTAGCTGAGTATATCAGTCAGGTTAGTCATTATTTATTATATACTATGATAACTATCCAC